ATAGGTAGGGGTAAATTTAAAAAAAAATGCAAAGAGGCTCTTGTTTTTTTTTTTTACAAGTAATTTTTCGAATGATGCTTTTTTTGGGGGGGATCCAAAGATGAAAAGAGGGGAAACAAAAGTAAGTTAAGCAAGAAACGGGGCTGTTTTAAAGACTTTTTTTTTAAAAAAAAATTTTGCCCCCCAAACGGGAAACCCTGTAATATATACCCAGAAACAGACACAGACACAGACATATAGAGAATGAAAGACCAAAACCCCCAATCCCCCCCCCCCCCCCCCAATCCCCATCACTTTCTTGTTCTCTATTCCTGCTTATAATTGAAAGACATATCTGCCGGGCAAACTTTGGCTTCAGAGACTTGTTCTTTTTAGAAGCCCTGTATTTCTTTTCTTTAGATTATAAGAAGTTATATTGTCAAGCTGTGTGTGTGTGTGTGTATATATATATTCATGTGAAATAATAGTAATAATAATAATAGTAGTAATACTAGTGATAAAGAGACAAGTGCGTAACTTATCTATTAATTTACATGAGATTTTTTTTAGATCTGAATTATAGAGAAGACGATTTTTCTTTAAAATGAATAATAAGAATAATAGCCAGCCTTGTATCTCAATTATGTGGTAAATAGCGAGCTGTATTTTATTGTTTTGTGTGTGTATGTATCCCAATGTAGATAATAAGAGTCTATGGTAAGTGCAGAGGAGCAACAGGAAGAACAGTATCAGTATCAGTAGTAGCAAGAACAAGAACATGTCATATTAAGAAATACGGCTCACTGTTCTGGTCTTGTAGAACACGGCTGTTTATTTTCTTATTTTCCTTTCCTTTCTCTATTGGATGATTTATATTCTGGGGACTTGGTCTTTATAATGCCTTAATTTCTGAATACCTTCTTTCTTTCTTTCTTTATGTATTAATAAAGAATCTCTTGAAAGTATTGACTAACCTAATTATCACAAGAGAAATTTTAATATCTTCAGGGCATTTTATCATCATCATTATTATAATATATATACAGGAGCTATTTTTTTTTCTTTTTTGCTTGTGATAGTTTAGCTAAATAAGATAGATTATATCTAATGCGCTCAAAAGCCCTGGTTACAGTCGTGATTCCCAAACAGATAGAGCAAGAGAAAATTAAACCATTGTATTCTCAAGAAATTAACAAATATAGAAAGAAAAGGGCAAAAGCAAAAGAAAGCAAAAGAAAGCAAAAGATATAAAAGAGGGCGCGCCATTGCGGCTATACAACATATATACAGATAAAATAAAAAGGACTTTATATATTTTAAAATAATAATGTAATTTAACAATTTCTATTTTGTAATATAAGGACAAAGAAGTTAAAAGATGTTAAAGAAGTCCGTGTTTTCTGTGCTAAATTCTTTTGGTTCTATTATTTAGAATACCTTTTAGTAGCCGAACAATTTTATAACATTTAAAATAAATATAAATGATGCTCTCATAGGAAGTATTATAAATATATATTATATATGTTAAAAATGAAAGATGAAATAAAGGAAAAGTACTAAATAAATAAAGATGGGTAATTAAATTGCTTAATTATAATATTTTGTGTAATTATGAGGAAAATGGCTTACTTTTTTTTTCTATAATTTTCATAGCGAATAATATATCAAATGTATGACTATATCAAATATACTAGTATTTTTGGGGGGTCACCAACTATGAATATACCTAACTCTTGAAGTTGTTATTTTCAGAAGAGTATGATTGGATACTTGAAAACTTGCGCTCTTCACTGCGATGTGCGATATTTTATGTGAAAATAACATTCTCTTTAAACGAGTATGATTGGTCCATGTAAACGAGAGTATTATTTATTTATTGATTGATGATTGATTGATTAATTAATTAATTAATTAATTTATTTATTTACAAATGATGACAGCCTTTTACACACACAAATATTTATATAAAATTTATATCTATTTCTATATATTTAACTTTTGATTTAATTTAATTTAATTTAATTTGAGTATATAATATATATATATATTCACATACAAAATATTGAATATAGTTTGAATGCTTATTTCTTTGGTAATTTTACACATTAATGAAAAGCTGTAATAAAGAAGAATGATTTTGTATATATGTTTCTTAATACTTTATGATATGTACTGTGAGTATTTTTTGGCGAAATATGATCACAAACGTTATAAAATTAAATATAAAACGGAATGGTGACCAAAATATCGGAAAACTAAGCAAGCAATAGAGAATCATAGTAATAATAATATATTTGTATATTACACCGGGTATTTGGATCAACTGTTAATCGTTAACATCAAGTAATAAATGAATAAACAATTTATATATAAGAAACAAGAGGTTTGCCAAGGTTCTTAATTTATCCACACTTCAAACAGATCTCTGTTATAAACGAGATTCCTTGTGACTATAGTTTGTGTAATATATCTGAGATAAAATACTTTTATTTTATTTTATTTTTTTGACTAGAGATGATTTCCTAATCGACACCACAAGGTAGAGTGATGTATCACTATATAGTTTAAAGAAGCACGATCATGATAATTAGAATAAATGGGTACATATACATACAAAAAGACAAAATAGTTGAATGACTTTTTGTATATTTTGTATTTATTCTACTTCTTCCTTACTTCTTGTTTCTTGTTTTGGGGTTTCAAAAACAATTGTAAATAAATAATAATCAGGAGAGAGAGAGAGAGGGAAACCGGTCTTGAACCGACATGTTTGATGAAATCAGAAACATATTGCTATTTTATTTGTAGATCATATCAATCATGAAAGTTTCCCCTTGATTTGTTATTATTTGTTTTTCACATCAACAGCCCTAGTGTGTCAGCCCAAAAACTAAAACCTTGTTTTGATATTTTGTATTTGTTTAATTATTCTTGTGTATAGATTTGGGCGTAATCTTTATTCTCTAACAAATCAATATCAACATCAATATAGATATAAATATACATATACATATATATTGGTGCTCGCATGCGTGGGGCACGCGTACACACCAAGACTCACTATATTTTGTGGCTCAAATACATATATATTTATATATTTACATCACTACATTATCTCGTTACCATAGCAAACCTTAAATAATAATAAAAAGACAAAAAGAAAGAAAGAAGAAATTCTTTGGTTATTAGCGTAAACCAATTGGATACTACATTTTATATATATGTATATATGTATATATGTGTGTGTGTGTGTGTATATATGTTTTTTTATATGTATATGTGTATATATAATTATGTGTAAAAATATACATCAAACAGAAACGGGACTGAGGTTCCGACTAATTCAATAATATTGTTAGATTGACTTTTTATTTTATTTTATTTATATAAGAATATATATAAAATGTCAATGGTAACACAACAGCTGTCAGAGCTGTGCCATCAAAAAGGATAAGCTCTTCCGTAGCAAGTAATTCATGTCAAATCTGCAACACGTCGACCCGAGCAGTGGGTCATTTTTACACCACACTTCTTCTCACATCGTTCCGATACAATTGCTAAATAGTCTGTGCGATTCTTTTAGCCAATACAACTCATCCAAATCCAACCCGACCCAATTCAACTCAATCCAATTCACTTCAATTTGTTTCTAGTCAACACAATTTATGTCAAGCCAAGTTATGTCAAGCTGAGGTCTAGGTCTAGATCCAGGTCCAGGTCCAGGTCCAGGTCCAGGTCCATGTCAAGTTAACCTATACCGAATCAAGCCAGAAAATAATTCTGTAAAGTCATTTATTCGTTCACTTGATTACTCAATCGCCAAATTACTTGTGAGCAAAGTTTGTGAGGGTGGAAATCTACTGGTAAAATAACCAAGTAGAATCAAGAAGCTTTATTTGATTTTGTGTACATACTTTTTTTGTATACACAAAGAAGTATAGATGAAGCGTGGTTTAATAAGGAATCTCCTAACCTCCCCACACAGTCAAATTAGTACTATTAGTATTAGTATTATTATTTTTAAAAAAAAATTAAATTTAAATTTAAATTTATTTATTTTTAAAAAAAGGTTCGCCGTTTCTCTATCTGTATGTGTTTAAAGGGTTTTTATTTATTTACCTTAGGATCGGAAAAGTTTGGCGTCTAATTTAACAAGATCCTCACAAATTGTGTAATAATCACTTGTCAAGCCCACGTTTTATTCTGATAGAATACACATAGTAACATGGTAATCAAAATGCTTTTGAGGTTCCGACTGATGGTGAAATTTGAGCTGTGGAAATAAATGTATATATAATCCAACAAATATCCACCAAAACCTCTTTCTTACATTCGAAACCAAATCAAGTCGAAAGACAAAAAGGTCAAAGACAAACCGACAAGGCTTTCCTATCTCATCGAATTCCAGCCTATTTCACTCCCATCTTATCAATACACAAGATGCCTCCAGTCAGAACCACCCGGCCTCCTCTCCCAAGACCCTATCCTCTCATGCCACCCAAGCCAAAATAATGGGCCAGGAAAAAAAACAAATTCCAAAAGACAAAAAATGCTACCCATTTCCTACTTGCCAGCTCACACAAAAATCATTCATTCAAATACTTACTCATACACGCACGCACGCACGCACGCACACACGCACACACGCACACACATACACACACATCTATTATCTTATCCTTTCATTCATTTCATTCTTTCATTCACTTCAACCTTTCACCTGTTTAATATTTCTTCCTTTTTTCTTTACCAATCTCAAATTACCTACTACTCACATACTTCTTCCTTCTTTGTTTTTACTTAAATTTTACATCCCAAAAGCAAGGGAAATACATATGCTTTAATTTCATATTTACCTTTACCTTTTACCTTTACCTTTACCTTTACCTTCACCTTTACCTTCATTTTCTTTTCTCTTCATGTAAAACCTTGTCTTTTCTTTCCACAAAAAAAAAACAGATTTATTAACCTCTTTATATTTATTAAGCACCAAAACCTTTTTTTTTATCCTTTTCCAGCAGAAAATAAACATCCCTATGTCCTGTCTTTCTTATCTTATTCCTTTCTTCTTATTATTATCATTACCCTTCTCTTTATATTATATTATATTTTATTTTATTTTGTTTTATTTTCTTTAAAATATATAAAATGTATATATAAATAAAATTCAATTTGATTTGATTTGATTCGGTTCGGCTTGGTTTGATAGAGTCCAGTTTGGTTTGGTTTGGTTTTATTCTGTTTGATTCAATTAAATTCAGTTCAATTCAATTCGATTATATAATTTTTGGTTTGTTTTATCTTTTCTTTTCTAATCTGACCTTGCCACAGACAGTGACATTTTTGTACAAACTGGGTTGTATTTTCAAAAGGGTCTCCCACTATATCCGCATCTAGTCCGGATTAACCGAACACACTATTAGTCTTTTGTATAATTCGGCTATTTTAGACATCTTACTAGAATCACAAATACACAAACCCATATAAATTATAATATAAAGTAAACGGAGCTGAAGTGTAATCTCTTCCAGAGACATGCGGGTTTGACAAGGTGTCAACCTTAATAACTATAAATATAAAAATAAAAATAAAATAATAAAACACATACAAACATACAAACATATAAAAGTCAACTTACTTTGAAGCACTTTTCTTTTTTAATATATATATATAAATATACATAATCAATATCCACCCTTAATAGACCGTGCAGAGTGATATTCACCGGAGATCATTACCACCAATACTAAAATTAATACTAATATTACTATCAAAAATTACAATTACTATTACTACTGATCCTAATGCTAATTCTAATGCTAGTACTAATACTAATACTAATGTTAATGTTAATACCAAGAATAACACTAATATTAATTATTAACATCAAAATTATCATAATCATAATCGCTAATTAATATATATATATATATAAATATTATTTTATACTTTTTTTTGTGATTCGAAAATGCTAATTTTAAACTAGACATTTTATTTGCTCAATTCCGGTAACGTGTTCCGAACAAGTGGGAGAAGTATAGCAAATATATATATGTAAATATATATATTAAAAATAACAATATAATATAATATAAAATAAAAGAAAATTATAATCACAATAATAAGATTTTGAATCTCAACCATTATCTCAATTTTTTTAAAATAAAAAAAAAAAAAACTATCATACTCTACACACATCATTTGAAATGAAGTTGAAGGAATTAGAAGGAATCTTACAAGATTGCGCAGTATTTTGTAGGTCTATTTTTAATTAATTTAATGAACCTGCATTTATACACATACATGAAATTCTTACAAAAAAAAGTTACTTGTCATTGTAGCTGATCCAAAGATTCAATATGAACAGTACCCAACAACTGCTCATTTAGCTGCTCGCATGCTGTACACTGCAGACACTGTTTACGATGACATTGAAGACAAGGTGATTGGTGATTTCGGCTGTGGTTGTGGTGTTTTGAGTATTGCAGCTAATATTCTTGGAGCAGGGTAAAAATAATAATAATAATAATACTAATAGTTGTATATACATGTACATTTATTTATTTATTTATTTTATTTATTGGATTAAATAGTTACAGCATTGGATTCGACATTGACCCTGATGCGGTTGCAATTGCTCAAGAGAATTGTGATCAGTTTGACATCTCAATGGACTTTGTATTAACAGATCTCACTCAAGCAAGACTTGATCGGTTCAAAGGTCAAATAGACACTATTATTATGAACCCTCCTTTTGGAACCAAAACAAAAGGCGTTGACATGGTCTTGTTAAAAAAAGCAATCGAGGTAAGAAATAATAGTAATAATAAGGCATGGTTGATTATTAACTCTGGTATGTATAAACTTATTATAGATTGCAGGTACATCAGTCTATTCGCTTCACAAAACATCAACACGCGATGTAAGTTAAAAGGATGTAACTATTATATGCTTGCGTGTGTGTGTATCTGATAATATTGTATATATATTTTAATAGCACATTATGAAAAAGGCTAAAGAGTGGGGTGTTGGTTGTGAAGTATTGGCTGAACTAAAGGCAAGTTTATATTATCAATATATGTATATAGTATGTATTTAATTAACAAGATGGTTTCATTTACTCATTATAGTTTGATGTACCAATGATGTACAAATTTCACAAGAAAAAGTCTGTGGATATTGCAGTCGATTTTTTACGTTTCAGCAAGTAAATATATATCATTATTATTATTATTATCATCATCATCATCAAAAGCATTGACAATATTATTACTATTACAACTACCATTATCATTATCATTATCATTACTATCATCATACCTTCTCTCTCTCTCCTTTAAGAAACAAGAGTAATATGTATTCCTAAAGCACAACACATACAGAGAGAAAAAGCCTTTTTGAAATTTTGGTTACTTTGTGTGTGCTGTGGCCTAGATAATAGGCTATTAGTCTATGTGCTTCAGAGAGTACCACCATATTTATTATCATAAATATTATAAATACGAAGAAGAAAAACTTAAAAAGCTAAATAAATAATCGTAAATCGGAATAAAATCCATATTTTTTTCCAATTTAAACCTTTTGGCGTTTATATTCCATTTATTTTTATTTTTATTTTAAATAATTAGATAAATAATATATTGTGGAAAAACATAATTCCGAATAATCCACGCTTTTTAAGAGAATCATCCGGACTCGTGTGTTTTCCTGGTATTTGTTCGCAAAGGCTTTTTTGCTGTTCACCTCATTTACGAAAAATGAATTGACGGTTGAGAACGAGCCATTCATCACAATTATTCACCAAAAAAAAATTTTAATAAAAAAATTCTCAGTGTATATTCCGGAGACTCAAGTTCTCACCTTTTTTTAAAGAACACGTAATTTCGAGAAAAATCCTATCTAGTTGTACTTCAATCACCATAAGGTTCAACTTGTGGGTTCTTTGGGCCACAACATAATGCACAACACAGACTCATCTTTTTTTTTTTTTATTTCATTATATAAATTGTACATTTTATATAAGCATATAATAAGTCATTAGAATTTATTTCTCCGGTTTATATATTTATTCTACTAAACTTGTTCACTCACAGTCACCAACTATAATTTTGCAACAATTTTCTTCTTGTACCTTTTTTATTATATATATATATATATATATATATACTTTACAAAGCATTCACACACACATATACACAAATGGCCTCTACAACTATGGAATCACAACCGAAAGAAGAGAAGCATCTCACTCCAGTCTATGAAGAATCTTCACAATTCCGTCATTGGCGATTCAGCTCTCAACAACTTTTAGATATCCGTACTTCTTGTAATGCCGCCGCAGTGGATCGCGTACGGCGAAATTTCCAAGAAGAACAAGTAGTGTACATCTCTTTACAATTTAAAAGAATTCTCTACAACTATTATCAATTCTTTAATTCTTTTTTTAAAAAAAATAATAATAATAAGAAAGCTGCTGAAGCTCAGGGTGATCGTCCTCAAGATGAACCACAATACTTGTCAGTTCAAGACGAAATGGCATTATGTAGATTCTATGAGAAACAACTTCAAGGAATCTGTAAACATTTGAAGTTTACTGACATGGTTATGGTGAGTCCATAAAAAAAAAGAAATGTATATATTATTTAAATAGAATACATACGTTATACAATGCTTGAATAATTAAACTACACGCATAAATGTATGTTTATTTTAAATGATATTTTGTAGGCTACAGCTGTCATTTATATGAAACGATTTTTTCTTCACAATACAGTAATGGATTATCACCCAAAAGACATCCTGTAAGCGATTGAATAGAGAGATGAATAGTAAATCAAAATATTAACCCTATACATTATATACATTATTCCACATAGTCTAACATGTTTGTTCTTGGCCACAAAGTCAGAGAGTGAACGTGTATCGATTGATGATTTTGGAAGGAACCTCAAATTGCCTTCAACAACCAGTGTTCTCGATCTAGAGTTTACAGTCTCTCAAGGTCTCAAATTCGAATACTATGCTCATCATCCTTACAGACCAGCCTACGGGTTCTTTTTGGACATTCAGGTATATATATATATAATGTGGGTGTACTTGAAAAAAAAAAGGATAAATCGTCTCAACCTTTTACTTAATTCTATCTTATCTCATTGGTATTGTTATTTTTGAAACATAGACTACAGGAGTAGATATTAAGATACTCAAGGAAACTTACAATAAACTAGGTCCAGTAATTGGAGAGATTCTACTGACAGATCTTCCGTTTCTTTATATGCCATCCCAATTGGCACTGGCTGCATTTGTGGTGGCTGGAAAGAACAATGGATTCGATGCACAAATTCACAAGCAAGTTTCGATCCCTTTTTATTTTATTTTTTATCAATCTATATCAATTAACGACAACGATAAAAACAAAACGACTTTAGATACATTGAAGAGAGATTTGGAGATCAGTCAGACCCACTGAAAGACATAGTGAAAGCTATAACCAAAGTATTATCACAAGTAACTCCGGTAACAAAAGAGCAAGCGACTCAAGTGGACTATCGTTTGCGTATCTGCATGAATCCTGCAAAGAATCCGAATTCTGCGCTGTTAGTAATCATAATAGCTTCTTTTATTTATTATTCTTTATTAATATTAACACACACACACACACACATATATATATATATATATATCTACTACACACGATTTCTTTTTTTTAAAAAAAAAATAGGTACAAAAAACGAGCAGCTCAGAAACAACTCGATAACGAAGAAAGACGAAGAAAGAAGGCTAAAATAGACCAAGATGAGGAATCAGAGGAAGAAGAAGAATAAAATGAATAACAGTGATAAATAAACAAGAATAAGCACACACACACACACTACATACATACACACACGCACACACACGCAAACAAGAGAAACATAAACGTTTAGAGTAAATAATAATAATAATAATGACAAGAATAAGAATAAGAGGGGGGAGAAGAAGAAAGGCAGGTTTCTTGTGGATTTACAATAACCTCCTTGGCTTCTTTGTGTCAGATCCACAATTCTTGCAGTACCACTTGCCCTTGGGTGGGACCTTTAGACCAACGCATTCAATGTGGAACCATTCGATATCACACTATATGCACATACATATATATAACAATATGAGCATAAGAATGGTAATTTACTATATAAAATAAAATAAAATAAAAAACTCTTACACAAAACGTACCTCTTCATTGTCACAGGCAACCATTTCACCAAATGATACCTGCTGGCAGTAGCAATATAACGGTTCATTGGGGTCAATTGGAAGATGGCTCATCGAAATCACACTATCAAAATCACAGTAAAATATCTTTTTGTGGTCAATATTAAGTTCTGATTAAATGAATAAAATAGTAATAATAGCAGTAGCAGTAGCAGAAACAATAACAGTAATAATGAAATTAGACTTACGCTTCTGCATGATTTTTTGCATCTTCTGTAGAAAGATAATTCCCCTGTGGCTCTACTACTTGTTCTACTTCCTTCTCCACAGTCTTTCGTTTTTTCCCTTTCTTTCCCTTTTTTTCTGCTGTAATAATTTGTTCCTTGTAGATTTCTAAAATCACAATAGGTAAATTAAATAGATCAAGTATCTACGATTCATAGTTATCCTCATACTCAACACCACTACCACCACCACCATTATAAGTGTCATCATAATTCATCATTGAAATCAATTTCGACATATTTACTTCTTGTTCTTCATTTTTTTTTTCTGTTCTCTTTCTTCGTCTATTTATCCGTCTTTATTAAGAACACACTTGCCTTTTTCAGGCTCAATACTAATTTCTTCTGTTTGTGCTCTTGTGGGTGTCTGCTGTTCAATAGATCGACCAGATCCACCGTATTTTCCATTCTCAAACTTTTGTAAATCATTATCTAGGCGTGTACAATGTCTATCGACCTACCAAGCCCCAAGAAACAAAAAATACAGACAGAAAGAAAAATTTTAGTAAATATAAGTATGTAAGTATAAAATATAAAACTATCATCTTACAGTATCATAAATTGACTTTGCAAGTGCAAACTTTTCTTCTCCTTTTTTGAGCGCTTCGTTCAAAAGTCGCCCAATGACAACTAGTTGCTCCTGACGCTCTTCTGGTAACAATACAGTCTTGGCTTCTGCTAATCGGAGAGATTTCTCAGCGACCTTTTCCATAAGATCTGAAGATTAATTAAATGGTTATTTTAAGAATTCAATTAGATTTAGATTAGATTGGGCTATATTGCATTAGATGATCAATTCAAATTCTCTAAATCTATGCATTTACATTTACAAAATAAAACAGCAAAAAATAAAGTAAAATAATATATATATATATTTATATTTATATTTATAAAAAAAATAGGGTTTCAATTAACCTTGAGCTCCTTCGTCTAATTGTCGAATGAGAGTAAAATTACGCTGTAATTCAAGCGGTAGTACTTCGGTTGCTACAACAACAGTGATTCATAAGAGTACTTGATTAGCCTTGAGAGCCGGTAGCAAAAACATGATATAAGAGCGATTTAGATAATAAAAAAGAGACATACTGTCGGTGTAATCATTGAGGTAAACAGCGGTCTCTTCAGAAGTTGGCATTGCTTGGTTGAAGCACAGCACAGGAAACTCGGTGGCTGGAATGTCGCGCTCATCGGGGCTTGTGGTTGATTTTTGTCTTACCTGAATTCCACAGTCAGTTTGTAGATATATATATATTTAAAATAAAAAAAAAAAAAAATTTAGCTGTCCAGGTCTATACTACTTTTGTGCTCAAGTTGGTTTAATTTTCTTTATCTGATGAAAATGAAAATTAATATACGTAAAGATATAGGTATATACAAGTGGTTATATAAAACACAATCTTCATCCTAAAACCTATAGAAACATTAAGCAGACTTTTGACTTCAATTACATACCGACACAGTATAGCAAAAAAAAAAGCACCCTTCAATAATCATTATCATTAACACGATCATTACTAGTAATGGTATTAGTTTTATAAATATCTCATTTTGTTTCGTTTCGTTTCGTTTAAAAATATATACACACACAATATTTCTCTTTCCTTTGTTCCTTTCCGCGTTGATGACACTTGGTACCACTATTCCTTAAAAAATAAACTTGCACATCTTTGTTTGACAAGTATTCTTTAATGACCACCAAGTCAATATCAGACCAGTCCTACCCAACCCAATCCATTTATACTTTATTTTATTTTTGGTTGGGGACAAATCCAATTTAATTCTCTAATTCTTGATTATCATTATTCTTTTTATATTATAAAGGAAATTAACCCCAAATATATATATCAAACAGGATAAATAATCCCATGTAGCCTGCTTCATATCCAAGTACGTGAATTGGATCCTTGATATTGAAACAGCGATAAGTATTTTGAAACATCGCTATTTAATTTAATTGGCCATGACATATATTTATATATATATTTGAAACCAATTTAAGGTTACAAGCTAAAAAAGCAACTCTTAGGATCTGATAAAAATAATAACAATGAGCTACTTATTTATTTATTTTCCTACTGACCGAATATTTACATACACATGTACAACCACTCTTCTTCTTCTTTACCTTCTTTAGCTTCTTTGTATTATCTTAACTCTCTGTATTCCTCGCATTTCTAATCAATCATTATTTATCTTTTTTTTATTGTATTATTATCACTATTACTATATAAAAGCTCTATTTCTTTTCTTTATCTTTCTTTCCTTTTTTTTTTCCTTTTGCATGTCAAGTATCATCATAATGTCTTATTGGATACAGCAGCTGAGGACTGCTGTATTTGGACGCGATCCTGAACCTATAATTCAAGAAGCTCCTGTGTCAGAACCAGAACCAGAACCAGAACCAGAAACAAAAACAGAACAAAAACAAGATCCTCTGCTTGAAACAGCTCAATCTAATCCTAATTCTCGTGAACATGAACATGAACATGGACATGAACATGGACATGAACATGGACATGAACGTGGGCGTGGGCGTGGGCGTGGGCGTGGGCGTGGACGCGGACGCGGACGCGGGGGTAAACATGGTCATGGTCATGGTCATGGTCATGGACATGAAGCCACAGAGGTTGACATTGATCAAATCCCTCCTATTGATCTCCTCCTCACCGATCCATGTAATACTTGCTCTCTTCCCTGCGACGACCACAAGGAATACCCCTCATACCTCAAATTTGATCATATTTCTCCTCTGCTGGGATCCATGAAACCCTACAGCCGCCACGTTCTTATCAGCACCGGCGAGTCGGACTGGGCCGAACGGATCGAAGAGGACTGGGGTTCCTTTGCCGCAAACCTAAGCATGGTCACCAACGACCGGCCACCCCAGAACCGAGCAATCATCACCAATACTTCTATGCTCGCCACACACTCTACCCTACCAAACTCACACGATATCGTTTTGCTACCCGACAATATCATCATTTCTAATGTTACTCCCGACGATGCAGAGGCATTCTATGAAGCCTTTCTTGCCACACCACTCCCGGTCGCACCAGTCGTGCTTGACGAAGATTATTACAAGTCCAAGAATCTAGGAAACATGGTGGTCCACAAAAACCTCTATTCTTCAATGATCTTGATTTGCTCGCACCGCAAGAGAGACAAGCTATGTGGCGTCACGGCCGAAATCCTTGGACGCGAGTTTGACAATGTCTTGCGCGAAAAGGACATTAGTGAAGGTGAAGGAGGAACGGCTATCCTGATGGTGAGCCATGTTGGAGGTAACGTAATCAAATTAAGCAATATATATATATATGTGTGTGTGTGTGTATGTGTATGTGTATGTTTGCGTATATCTTAATTTTATTTTAAATAATAATTCAATAACCCCTCTTTTTCTGCGTGTCCGTAGGCCATAAATTCGCAGGTAATGTTATCTGTATTACGCACAATGGAACACGATGCGTCTGGTACGGTCGCGTAAAAGCATGTCACTGTGAAAGAATTGTGGATGATACGATACTGAGAGGAAGAGTTTTGAAAGAACTTTATCGAGGAGCAATGTCACACAGTTATGACGAATCCAAGTGTGAAAGAATTCGTTGGTAATAAAAAGAAAATAAAAGGAAATAAACAACAACAACAAAAACCCACATACACATACACATACACCTTTATTATTATTATTAATTACAAGTTAACACTTGGCCCAAATATGTATATTTTGTATTATATAACTCCAAAAAATGTATATGTGATAATATCAATATATCAATAATCATAAAAAGAAGGTTGGAAATAGAGTGTTTTTTATTATTATTATTATTTTGTGCATAATTTTTGAAATGTGTATCATATATATAAATATAAATATATACAATAGACACATATAAGAGTATGTAAAAGAAAGGAATAAAAGAATAGGGTATAATATCAAAAAATAGAAATAGAAAATAAAAGTAAAGAGGAGGGATTGAGTGTTGAAACAAAAAAAAAACAGTTTGTAGCTTATTAACTATTGAACCTTATTGCTAATTGATATATATATGTATATTGGTTTACTCGGCTTCCAAGGGAACAGTCTGCTTTCCAAGGTAGGCATAGTCATAGTTGACATCATCCTTGGCATAAGGCATCGACCAACGGACATCGCGGTCATTGACCATCAACCAGAGACGCAAGAGATGGCGGGTCTTCTCTGGAGAGTCAGTGTAGGCGGTTCTGGCGTGCAAAAGCTGGTAGTTCTGGACAAGCTGGATGTCTCCGACCTCGAGTCTCATGTTCAGAGCCTCGCGCTCACAGAGTTTCTGGACGTACTCCATTGCCTCAAACTTCTCGGCCTCGACTGTGACACCAGGGAAGCGAGTGACGGTTTCGTAAAAGTGAGGACCCCAGAAGGTAAAAAGATGATCCTTGTGGAAGACGATGGGAGGGGCAGCAAGATAAGGTGCTTCGTTGGGGCCATGCTCACCCTTCTTGTCCCACAACCAGGCCTGCTTCAAGAGCTCGACAATATCGGGGCGCAGGTCAGAGAGGCGGTTGTAGAGCGTGTGGGATGAAATGACCGAGCTCAGTCCGCCAGATTCACCTTCAGACAAACACAGCAAGGCAACGATGTCAGTGCCATCGGCGTGGAAAGGCTGGGCCTTGCGGGTGGCGTAGATACGCGTGGTTGGGTCATCGACATTGTAGACGCTCTTGGTGGTCGAGCCGGTCGTGAGATCCTTGATATGGCCCAAGACATGGCCCTTTGCATTCTGGGGCTTAAGGGTGCCAATGTAGGAACCAATGCCCATGAAGATGGCAGCCTGGTCCTTGCGATCGTATTTGGTGATAGGAAATCCACGCAAAAGTCCAAAACCAGTTCCCTTGAAGAAATCTTCTTGGTGTTTCTTGATAATTTTTGTAAAATTTCCGAGAGGGAAGTTTGTCTCCTTGATCTCAATCTGATAAAATCAAATCAGATCAATTTATAAAATAAAATAAAATAAAAAAATAAAACGCCAATAGTTTAGAAATCATGCATTTGATATACGTATAATATTTTTTGTATATAGATATCTACCAAAGGAAGGTTCAGGGAGTTAAAGTGCTTGAGACCACTGTCGATGTCTTTGATGTCATCCTCAGTGAGATAGTAAATCCACTCCTCTGGGTGGTTTTCGAGATATTTTCCATCCCAAACCGAAGGACCAGTAACTCTGTCAGGAAAGACAGCGGCTACGGCATTTTCATCTTGGGTGGAGAATGAACGCCATTTTCCTGGCTCATTTGCTTGAGCAGGCTTGTCAGAGTCAGTAGTGTTGTGGACTGCAGCAGACATTTGTTACTTGTTGAAATAGAGAGAGAGAGAGAAAGAAAGAGGTAAAAGGTTTTGAATTGATTGTGTGTGTATTGAAGAAAAGAAAGGTAAATTGTTGTTTTGAGATGCTTATATATATATATGAATATATTTACGCGTTTGTATGTGTGTGTATAGCAAAGTCTGACTAATTATTATCTATAGAGCTATGGGAATACTTGATAGTCAACTATGGCAGTTCTCAAGGATGTCTTCTATGGTGAATAAAGCTAATGTATTGCGTGATTCGCTTTGATGGCGCAATCTATCATTTCAATGAGCACAGGTACGGGCGCTCTTTCAACCCTTGGCTGATATTTTTTCTTCTATTTCGCCGAGTAAAAAAAAAAAAAAACCAGAGCGATATGTCTTGTAAAGCTTCTATAGGGCTGTAGTGTAGTGTAGTGTGGTGTATCTTAATAAATGACAGAAAAATAACGAAAGAAACTTTATTAAGGCGTACACGTTTGCGCCATAGATGACACCATACCGTTCCAAACTACGCTTAACGATTTTTTTTCTTTTATCTTTTTTTTTCTTTTCTTCTTGTCTTGACTGATAAGAGTTTGAATGGGTATTACAGTTAATGTAAAAGAAGATAGAATATGTACAGTGTGTACAGTGTGTAGAGTGTGTAGAGTGTGAATTGTGTGAATTGTGTAGACAGGACAGAATTTTAGTCTTATAATATTTTGTATTATACAATGGCCCGGATTCCGGAATTAAAAATTATTGGGTTATGCTAAGGAAGATAAAAGAAAAACGGTATCTTTTATTGGCTAATAATCTTTAGATAAGTATACCTCTATCTCAAGTTTTGTTGTAGGAGTCATATACACCTACACCTACACCTACACCTACATACAAACTCAAGTATTATATCTTAATCTTTTTTTTTTTTTAAAAAAAAAAGATTCAAATAAAAATGGAGTCTCTTTTCGTATCTATAAAAAAAAATAGAGATAATTTATCAACAATCATTTTTTAATTGGAGTTCTCAAAGGCTTTGGAGCCAATTATTTGTAAATAGTTTCCTCCGAAAATATTTAACTGTATCTTTAGTGCTTAGCTACCATAATACGTTAATCATTACACTCATTCCTGTACCACAGTAGTGTGAGAACACTACACGGCAAGTAATATAAATAAAGAAAGATATACAAATATACAGTGCAATGCCGTACAGTGCAATGCCGTACAGTGCAATGCCGTACAGACCAATGCCGTACAGTATAATATACTATAGTATTCTTGACGTAAATAATTATCCTCGAGGGATTTTGCAAGGGGGAGAGAGGAGTAGGGGTAGGGGGGATGATCACAGCAACAACAACAACAACAACAACAAAAAAGAAAGACTGGTTTTCGATACAATACAGTATAGTATTGTACAAGCCAAGATATTGATTCTTTAAAGTGATCATCAAGTATAGCCAAATCCGCCTTGTTGGTCTTAAGAACGAGTCATAAGAGTATCATTTCTATTACTGCTGGCTACTAGCTAGTTAGCTATTTGGCTATTTAGCTAATACAGCCTTGCCTTTTCTTTGGATATTAATTAAGTAAAACAAAACAAAACAACAAAAAACATTAATAACAACAGCAAAAAAAAACAAAAAAAAAGGAGTTTAATCAAACCTCGGGTTTCAAGACAAATAGATTTTGGCTAATCACAGTGTATGATTATCAAGGGTACAACTACTTGTGTCACAAAGATATATATATATGTATATATATATATATATATTTATACACCATTTGTCCATTTGTCTATTGATGGCTTATTGCCTTTGTACAGTTTAACTAAAAAGAAGACGACATACACATCCCGAGACCATGAAAGATAGTATAATTACCGGAAGAAATTTCAATTGTTGTATCTTTCTTTGTCAAACCTCAAATCAAATCAAATCAAATCAAATCAAATCAAACACAATACAATACAATACAATACAATACAGTCTAGTCCAGTCCAGTCCAGTCCAGTCTTAATCAATTAAATTTACAATCAATATCAAAATACATTATGGAAAACGATGATGGAAAAGCTTGCGGGTAATCATTAGTTAGGCAGTCAATTGAATTGGCTGATTGGTTTTCTAGACCTGTTTCACATCATCCAAATAGACTAAAATGAAACTACAGAGATAATTATTGATTTATTGATTTCGACTTTAATAGCTGTGGCCCCTCTTGCAAATGCGTCAATTGCACATGTGGATAACCTTTCTACTGATTGATAAAATACATTAAACCAAGGCTGCTTTGTTATTTATTTTGACTTATTTATTTTGACGTATATATCGTGGAATTGAATCAATGGTCTACTGTAATACAAATGAATGCTAATGAAGAATAATGAAAATGATTTAAATAAAGAAAATATGCTCTTGTGTTTGTACGTCTATTTGCCTGCTTGTCTGTTTGGTTTGTAAATAACGAATGAAAATTAAATAAATAAATAAAAAAAAAGATAGTATGAGATATATCTATATGCTTGCATTTATCTAAAGCTAAACTGATCAATACACTTCTCCAAACGTCAACTTTTGTCTCATCTTTTGGCCGTTTAGCTTGACAAACACAAAGCAAAACATTCCAATGATATTAAGACTGGCCAGAATTGTAGCGAGGTACCCTGGACCGATTGACTCGACTACTGGATGAGCTATTAAACTCAGTATACAAGCCATTACCATACGAAGCAGGTTTGCAGCAGCTGTGACAGAAGCACCCTTTCCTGGCAGTGCGTCTACTAGATAAGCGGACCCAGATGCATAGACTATCAAGAAATATATATATATATTTAATATATTATTCTCTATCTATCTATCTATCTATCTATCTATCTATTTATTTATATAATAATAATAATAAGAAAACATATTACCTTGACTCATTCCAAAGCAAACAATAGCAAATCCAATCATGGATGCCCAGATGGTAAGATGTGCATGGATACACCAGCCAAAAATAAGTACTCCAAGGGGTACAAGAACAAATCCACCTGGCCTAGATAGAGACAATAAAGGGAGAATTGAGACATAACAAATTATCATCATTATATTGTTAACAGATATTTCTTTATATTTTACACTTCTACTCTTAATATATATATACATATATATATATTTACCATGCGTTCAAAGTCAGCCTATCTTCTGCTTTTGACTTGCCACCACGCTGACGGCGAGCTCGCTTGAGTAAATAATCAGACAGTCTTCCGGACACAAAAGATCCTATCAAATTACCCACGCCAGCACCCACAAAGCTTAGACCTATAAACATCCCACCAACCGACATACATATACAATCAACAAATAGTTAATATTTTCCTGCTTGAAGGTTTACTATATATATATATATTTACCTGTCTGCCACGATTTGAGACCATAAGTGCTTTCATAGAGATCAGGGATAATAGTTTCTACTGTAAACATTGTGCCAAAGCACACACCAGTCTGTATTGCTACAAGCAATACGAACACATGTTTCAGCATTGTTATGCTTTGGAATGGATTGAGACGCTGCACAGACTGCTTTTCTGCTGTCGATTGGTGATCTCTTAAGGATGAAGGCAAATTGATTTCATTTTGGGTTTGATCGACATTATCGGCTGCCTCAAGATCTCTGGTAGAATCGACCTGAGTATGTTCATTACTTTCATCTGAAATAGACAGCCTAGACAGCCTAGACAACCTAGACTGGTCTGGCTGGCCAGATATACCGGATAGACCAGACACTGCAGTAAGACTCGTCTTTGCTTCTGTTTGAGGATTCTTTGGTTCTGGAGTGTGGAAAAGATGAGCATCCCATATTTGTTCGACACGGTAGGTTTCGGGTAAGAATACAAACAAGAAGCAAAACAAAAAAGCACCATAAGCTGCGCAAAACCAAAATGTTGCTCTCCATCCAAGTACTGTAGTGATTCCTCCTCCTATGATTGGACCTATGTACATATATATATATAAATTGGTTTTTAGAAAACCTGTTTTTTTTTTATATGTTTGCTTTTTGCATTTTTGACAAATCAAAATCAAAGTACCAACATAATAATAATAAGAGTAGTAATTTTTTGTTTTGTTTTACCTATCAATGGACCAAAGAATTGACCGAGAAATAGTATACTAAAGGCAGATCCTCGCTCGGTTACTTCCCAGCAATCAGACACAGTTCCTAATAAAGAAAGGTCAAATAAGCAAATTCTTCTATACGAAATTGGCAATTGTCGCTCACCTGCACCAACAGAGTTTGTGACTAGAATAAAGGCACAGATAAATACATATAATGCAAACAAAAAAGAAAGAAAGAGAGACTTGCACAAAGCACATTACCTGATGTTCCTACAGATTGTATGCAACGTAAAACCACAAGAACCCAGACATTTCCCGATAAACCACAACCGACAGATGCAACGATGAATACGATCAATGAACTGAGATATAGTGTCCTAAAGTATATATAGATACATTAATGGCCAATAAACTAATCAATCAATCAATCAATTAAGAAGAAGGAAATCAGATGGATCAATTGATTTAAACTGTCCTCTTTCTCTTACTCTCTATTCTTTCTTTCTAATTAACATTTCTTTATATGTATTGTATATCAATTTACCTTCTTATGTGATAGAAATCTGACATCGAGGCCCACAGAATAGGCTATAGTTGTATGCAATACATACAAAAAATGCATAGATACATAGATAGATGAAAATAAGCAGAGATGTATGTTTGATCAATATTTCAACCCCTTCTCCCTTTTATATATATATAAGAGAAAGTGTGTGTGTATTTGAGTGTAGATAGAAGCTCAAGAATGATTGAATTGTGCCCTATTACGTACAGAAACAGGAAATTGGAAAAGGGATTATAGAGTAGTTAGCCAAAACACTTACACCGATACCTCCGAATAGAATGAATAGGGATGTTGTCAGAGACATGCCCACCGAATTTGTGTGTAGATCTTTTGTGATGTGAGGTAAGGCAGGAAACTTTTTATAAATATATTTAAATGAATTAATTAATAAATTTCTGTTTTGGTTAGTCAGTTGGCCAGTTGGCCAGTTAGCCAGTTGTAAATTACATACATAGATTGTCGAACAGAGTCCATTGAGTGAAGATCCGAGTGCTAGACAGGCTAGGATCCATCTTTTTTTCCCTTTGGAATAGAGTCGAGGATCGTTGTTGACCGGCGGTCTGAGGGACACTCGTTTCTGGGCTACGGCTGACAATCGAGCCAGAGACGATGATTTGGGAATCGACTTCTTTGTAGTTTCGACAGGTAGCGAGTTCTGGGTTTGTTGGGATAGTTCGAGAGAGTGCATTGAGGATGGTGACGATGTATGATCGTTTATGGCAGCAGACACAGGATTGTGTAGATTGTCCGTTGAATTTTCATGCATTATTTAATAAGTAATAATAATAACAATAACAATAATAATATTTATATATTTATTTAATTAATTAATTTATTTATTAAATGGTTAATGATTTGATTTAATAAAACTTCTTTTTTTTTTGTCTTTTAAAGAAGTAAAAGAATCCAATGATAATAGCAATGATAATGGCAATGGTAATAGGACTACCTTTTAGATCAATAATAATAATTTATGATTTATAATTAATAATTTATATAAAAGAAGTATACAAAAAAGACGTTGCTCTTTTTTGCCTTCTTTTGTTTTTAGCTGAATGACTTGGTTTTGCATGATTCTCAGCTTTTTATTTATTTATTTTTGAAGAGAGAGAGAGATGTATTATATTCTACATGGACACATGTATATACATTTGTACTGTGACGCAGTAAGCTGTAGCTAGTTAACCATTGGTTATTATTGATATGCAAATAAGCAAGTAAGGTAGCTAAATAAACAAGAATACAAGAACAGGAACAGGAACAAGAATAAAAAAAATTAAAGCCAAAACCAAAACACACACATACAATCTTACGCTTATACATTAACATATAGATATATAGGTATATAGGTATATAGGTATTTATAGAGACATCGAAACAGAAATAAAGAGACAGACAGACAGACAGGCAGATAAAGGCAAGTTGTGCAAGGGGGCGAAGAAGGTATGCAAAACCCTGATTGTTGTTATTTCTGTATCTTGTTCTTCTTCCTCAAGGCTTCTTGTTCTTTAGACACTTGTCGAGTATATGATTTTTCTACCAATATGTATATGTATATATGCGTATATTTTACTTTCAGACAATTGGAAACTGATTAAATTGTGTAAAATTCTGGTTTCTTTTTCGTTTTGGTTTTTAGTATTAGTAGAAATAAAAGGGAAATTCTGCTTATTGAAAAGTGCACTAGAAAATCTCATGATGTACTTGGATACACCACAAGGCAGTAGTATTAAGAATAGATGTAAGAAAATAAAGCGCGCACACACACAAAAAAAAAAAAACTCATCCCCCTCCCCCCTCGATTCAAATTCACTGTGGCTATTGAGTATATACATAGAGAGAAGGGATATTGAATTGAATGGTTAGGTTAATATTTCGATTCAAAATTCACACTTTAAAATGACCATGACTATGACTATAAATATGAGAATTGCAATCGAGATCGAACTCACAACCAAAAATAAAATAAAATTCAATTTTTTTTTTATTATTATCTTGTAATGTTTTCGCTCACACCTATAAATTATTCACTGAATTAATGATTTTTTTATATATATATATAAAAAAAGGGAAGGTATTTTTGAGCCACAAAGTGGTATTTTATTGTGTTGAAATTAATATCATTACCAGTAGATAGATTATATATATATATATATATATGCGTGTTGTGTATTTAAAATGATATAATTAATAAAGAAAGAAAGAAAAAACACAAGGGCTCAATGATGATGAGGGTAATATTATTATTAACAGTGTGGGTCCGATTCCGGGTCTCTTTGTGCGTGTCTTTTTGTGTCTCTGTCGGGATGTGTCTTCTCACGGAAGATTTGACTTGATTCGATTCGATTTGATTTTCTTTTTTTCCTTCTTTCTTGCTTTGGTACTCTTGACAGTAGGACAAGAAAACAAGCTGATCTGTCATGGCCAAGGCACATTTTTGTTAGGCCATAAAACAAAAACAAAAAGGTAAAAGTCGAGCCCTTTTGTGGTGCCACACAGTTGATCATTTTTTTTTCTTTGTTCTTGTCTTTGTCGCTGCCATTAATATATATATATATATATATATATATATATATTAATTACTATTGAAAAGTAATATAAAAGACAGAAATAGTAGCTTTAGAGTACAAGACAAGTAACAGACATCAAATGACTTTTGTTTTTTTGGACTTTCCCATCTCAAGGAAGTTCAACAGTTTAAGGACTTACACAATATACAACTCACTCACAATCTCTTTCTCAATATCTTCGGACTTTTAATGTTTACGCAATAAATATAGTTGCGATAGTTTTTGCGTTTTCTTAATATTCTGAGTTTTATTTAATAACCAATCAAATAACATATAACAAGAAAATTGGGGGGAGAGAGAAGAAACAAATGAATTCAATTTAATTCAAAATAATAATAATAATCTTTTTGGAAATTTATACCTTTTTATTTTTATTAGCACAAGTGATATATAAGATAATTACTTATTAGTAGCTTATTTATTTGTTTGTTTGTGTTTTCAAGATAAAGAAAATTGAAACAATCTCAAGACAAGTAAAGAGTCTTAAGAAAGTTTAACCAACAAAAACCATAATTATTATAAAATTAAAAAAGTGACACGCCATTCTGATCAAAGCACCAAAAAGAGATGATAGAAACACGGAACCTTTTCTTTCTTTTTCTTTTTCTTTTTTTACTAAACTATTCATATTTGCTAAACGTAGCCCAGATCATCTGACGTCAGGCAATTGAATACATGTGCGTTTGTGTGTGTATTTGTGTGTAGATGTGAGTGTGTGGGTATGTGTTGTATAGGTTTTGTCAAGATGAGTATAAAATATTTTAGAATAGTAAAAAATAAAGAATTAATCAATAATCTGGAGACTTTTTTTTTATTATTATTATTATTATTTTAGTTGATAATTTTGAGATGCCAGTACTGCCACCTGCCTTTGCTTCTGCCTTTCTGTCCGTCCATCTTGTCTGTCTATTTTACAGTTTTATTTCTATTTGCTAGGGCCGATCCCGAACTATCATCCGGGTGCCATTATTAATTATTATTTTTTATGTATGTGTGTCATCATCATCATCACCACCACCACCACCACCACCATTACTACTACTATTATTATTATCGTCATCATCAGTTGAAAGTCAAAATGAAAATAAAAGAATGGCAAAATTATAATAGGTTTTTAATAATAAGAATAATATATAAGAAAAGTGTACAAATCTGGTATTACAATTAAAGCCAAGAAAGAAAGATTCCGATGAGCAAATTGGTTTGTGGCGGGAAAGTACAAGAAGGAGAAGGGAGAAATGGTATAGAAGGGTGAGTGTGTATTGTGTATTGTATAGTAGATTTTGTAGATTACTATTCCCATTACAATGATATTTTTTTTTATTAATTTGTTTCTTGACTAATTTTATTCTGATCAATAAAACTAATACTAATACTAATACTAATACTAATTGCATGGATTTCACATGGCGTATCACACAAGAGGAGTGCTTCAGACAGTCTATTATACAAGAAAGAAGGAAAAGAATAGTAAATAAAAGAAAATACCAAGAGTAGGTATGGACCATTGGCTGGTTAAATTGATTGATTGATAGAGTAAATAAGTAAATTAACAAGTGGGTGAATGAAAGAGTGACTAACTGACTGACTGACTGACTGACTGACTGACTGACTAAATGAGTGAGACAAGAAAAGCATTCCACAAACTGTGCCAATTGAGTTTGTGCACACTATCACAACCATCACACTATCGCACAAACACAAATACAAACACAAAAAACACACGCACTATCTCTACCTCCCTCCCTCTATTTTTGATTTATCCAAAGCACTTTTTTTTTTTTTGCAAATAAACATGTGTTTGTCAGAAACGTGGGGGAAAAATAAGAAACACCCGGAGTACAAAAGGGTGGAGAGAAAGGGGAGGAGAAGAGAGGGGAGGGGTGGAGTGGAGAGAGGGCTGGGAAAGGCGCGCGATAGTTCAGATGCTAAAAGTAATACCCATGTGTAGTGTATAGATCTCTGTAATGTTGCTTTGATACCTGTTGTTAGTATTAAAGAAATTGAACGAATGAATAATATAATAAAAGATATGTATGTATTTAACATTTACTGCCTACAAATCAAACATGATATTACTGATTTTGCTTATCAATAGCAATAGCAATAGAAATATTATATACTTGATCACATACAAGATATCAAAGGTAAATTCATTCATTTGTTTATATGTCTATTGGCTTGAGTTCTTAACTGTGGTTGGAAATAGATCCTTTAAAATAAACCTCTTGCCCCTATAACGTTCACTTTAACAAACAACTCCCCTTCTATCTTTATAGATAGATATTATTATTATTATTATTATTATTATTATAATCCTAACCATAATAAATAAATTATTATTATTATTATTATTATTATCTTTCTCTCTTATTTATTTATTTATTTATTGAATATAGTTTAGTGTATTTGTGTGTGAAAGCCATAGATTTCCTTACAGCAACAACAACAACAACATAAAAAGTCTTATATTTTGTTAGCTGACTCTCTTGGGGTTGGATCGGGTCCTAGACCGATGTACTTACCTCTCAAAGATATTTTTAAAATATATATATAATATAGTGTGAAATATGCCAGGACAATCACACTACACTACACTACACTATGCTACACTATGCTACATATACACGTATATTATAAATTATATATATTATACATGTATGCATATAGAAACATAACATAACATAACATAACATAAAGTAAAATAGCTTATTTATATATAAAATAAAAATATATAAATCAAAAAAAAAGAAAAAAAAAAAGCTCAACTATTAATATTCTCTCTCTCTCTCATATATAAAATAAATAAATTTCCTTTTCACTTCTTTAACCATCTCAACCGACTCACACACAACGTACACCTACTTGCTGCATATTATGTCCAGTCAGCACTCAACCGAATACACCCGTCGCAATTCACTTCCTTCTTTTGTTCGCCAACTCCTCTTGCTAATGTCACCATCTGAGCAAAACACGCAATCCCACATCCACACTGAGCAATCGAGCCATGAAGAGAAACAAACTCCAAGCAGTCCATTTGAAGACCTCTACTTTTCATTTCCTGCTTACGAAGAACTGGACCCCGACAATAATGCCAATAATGGCTGCGAGTTGGGCTCAAGTTCGACCTCAAGTTCGACCTCAAGTTGTGCACAACACCACCATCACCACCAACACCATCGAGAATCAAGCTCAGCCATGAAATCAAGTCGAGTATTGTGTTAAAGGACCTTTGGATATCTTGCCTTGTCTCTATGCCTAAAGAAACCAACCAACCAACCAACCAACCAACCAACCAACCAACAAGCAAGCAAGCAAGCAAGAAAAAAAGGGGGGGCAGAATCAACACTATTTTCTCTCTTCACATACATACATATATACATACATACATACATACAGCACTCATATACCATTCATCACAATTATCCATATCCCTCACTTTTCACTTGCTTTCCAATTTTATCTTATTCATTCATTAGCCAGCCATACCTATATATCTTTATACCTAACATGCATCATTCATTCCTGTCTATCATATTGCACACACCAAATCTCTCTATTTCCAATGGTCCAAAGGCCGATTCATTCAACACCAACGGATACAGAAGCTCTTCATTATCATCATTCATAACATTCTCTTGTACATCTTTTCCTCTTTAAAATTTTCTATCCTGTATATTCTTTTTTTTTTTCTATTTAGCTTCTTGTTTGCATGCCTTAGATTACCATCTATCATTATCATTATTTATCTATATATTATAATATATATCACTCACTCACTCACTCACTCATTAATCAAATTTTATCACAAAAAATATATATATATATATATATATACATATATACATACATTTTATCACAATGGAATGGAATGTAATGTAATGTAATGTAATGTTCTCCCAATTTTGAAATATAAATTAACATGTATGTATATAAAAAAAAGAGAGAATTGTACTGTGAATATCAGGAACTTTTTTTCTTTTTTTTGATTTATTTTGGCACACCATCTTTATTTCCTTTTAATTTTATTTTTATTTTTAGAAGATTTGAATGGGTGGGGCGGAGAGAGAAAAAAGAGAGAGAAGAAAAGACGCAAGATAAGATAGATAGATGTTAATGGAGTAATGGATTAAGTAATAGAATGAGACTGTAATTTACACTTGCAAGTAAAGTAAAGCAAAGATAAATTAGATAAGATGCAGGCTGCACAAATTTTCTTGTTTGACCAGAGCAAAGAATTAAAAAGAAAGGGGAGTAATAAATAGGTAAATGGGTAAATGGGTAAAATGGATTTAGGAGCTTTGGATGGCTCACCAGGCATTTCTTGTTTATTAGCCTGAAGAGGAATTAGATTAGATTTATATATGGCTGATAAACCAAACCAATAACAATACAAAATACAAAATACAAAATACAAATGAATGAATGAATGAATGAATGAATGAATGAATGAATGACTTTGATGGAGTCTGATTAAGTTTCACGTGCACTCTAAAAGAAAAATGTACATTATTGTCTTGGCATGCTTCTGCCAATCTTTCCCAATGATGGCGTGCCTTGATTGAGACTATTGGACACACCAGAAGTATATTATATATACATGTATCTATATAGCGTCTCTGCAAATGATAGACAGACAGACAGGTATTACTAGTACTTTGTTAATCAGATGTGCTGTGTACAAAACCGATAAAGAAAAGAAAAGAAAGAAAGAAAGAAAGAAAGAAAGATCTCAATGAATAAAAAGGGAATACTAAATGATCGTAGTTATCATAAACACGCCACTATCACTGCCACTGCCACTGCCACTGCCACAATCACAATCACAATCAATACCAGTAATAGTAATAGTACCAATGTTACAATTACTGCTACAATTACTATTCCTACCACTACCACTACTATTGCTGACCATTAGATAGGTCATTCTACCCCCCCAAATTATCCTCATCGGCTTTATCGGTTGAGGACACCTTGTATTCTCTTATGTCTATATCTATATATTTATACTTGTACTTTATTTCTTAATTTTGTCAATGCCGAAATCTCAAGACTCTCCAAAGTTCAACTGACCTACCCTTTATTTTTTTTTATTAAAATAACAAACTGTTATTATGATCATTATTTAATTTTCTTTCTTTCTTTGTAAAATATCAAGCACAACAGAACAAGACAGGGCAGCCAAGAACACACAAGAACACACAAGAACAACCCAAATATATATATATATATATAAAGTCAGGTATGGTCAGCTCAAGTAAGGTCAGGTATGGTCAGCTCAGGTCAGGCCAAGCCAGCTTAGGTTAGGACAGGACAATACAGAACAAGTCAGAACAAGACAAGACTGGGCAGGACTGGGCAGGACAGGGCAGGACAGGGCAGGGTGGGACTGAGAACTATCCAATCATATTCGTCAATGCTCGTCCAGATCAAGCGGTATTTAGTCTCGATTAAGGAAGCTTCAGGGCGTGCAAAAAAGAAAGAAAGATATATATATATATGTGTGTGTGTGAGTGGGTGGGTGTGGCACAAGATTAGGTGACAAGAGTTTTTTTTTTAAAATAAAAAATAAAAGACTAGTATGCGCGTGCGTGTGTGTGTGGACAAAAAGGTAAATATTTGCCAGATTTTTTAAAAGCTTTGATTCCGAATAAAATCAACTTTGTCCAGCCTTGTCTTATCCAGTCTAGTGATGTCTTGTGCTGTCTTGTTCTGTGTAAGATAGAAAGTTTGCTGTTAAAATATATACATATAATATAAAATATACATTTGCCACAAGAACATCTTTAGTTTCCCTTTATTTCCTCCCTTCTCCTTCTTGGGACATCAAGAGAAAATACATCTGACAAATAATAATATATCTTTATATAAATTAATGATATCTCTGGTGTTTATTATGGTTTGAAAAGGGGGGGAATGAAAGGGAGGAGGGGGGTAAGAGTTAGAGACAGGATGAGTAATTGGCAATAAATATCTTATTCAAAACAAAACAAAACAAAACAAAAAAAAAACTAATGACAGATTTACGCCTAGATAATAAAATTAGATAAAGGTAAAGATTATTAATAGCTATAGTGATAGTAGTGGTATTAATTAAAGATAATACATAATACATTCTAGTCAAAGAATAAAGATCAAGTTTTGGGACCCTAGTTTTAATCATTCAAGAATGAATACCCTACCATATTGTGCTTTTACTGGAATTGCATTATAAATGCCAGATTAATGCTATTGTCTCAATCAGCAGCCAAGATCTACAGGAACACACAGCTATCATAAGAAAGATGGTAATCAATTGATCTGTGTAAAATAAAGAACAAATCAGCTGTTTATTTACCCCATAGTGCTCAGGAGCATTAGATTTCTGAAACATTTATTTTTTTATATAGAGAAGTAAAATTTGAGGTACATGAAATTTATTCATAATTATCCAATGCCCGAGCACGATGGTGTAAGACACTTTCTATATATATATATACACACACAAAAAGGTTTGTTTGAATTGTGGCTGAAAGGGTCAAGATCAATTGATCAAAAACCTCTCAATTGCCTGTATAATAATAATAATAATAATTTGTAGATATAGATATTAAGTACATCAGGCACATCAACACACCCCTTCTTCTGCTTCTTCTTCTTCTTTCATTTGATTTGATTTGATTTCGAGTAGGATGACGTCGATCAATGTAGATTGGAAATGCACAAGACTCTTTGTTTGTTTGTTTGTTTGGGAAGTCTGTAGTGTGCACAATTTTATCATCAAAACAATAAAGCAAAGATACATGAAGAATATAGAAGATCTGTATTGAAGATCAGAAATACATGTACATAGTTATATAGTATTTATAACAATAATAATAATTCATTATCATCATATTAGGACAATTATTTTGTGCTTGTGTATATGATATGCATTAGTCTGTTTAGCCAAGAATCTTTAGAGATCCTCAGCAGCAGCAGCAGGAGCAGCAGCAGCAGCAAATAAACAATACTAATAATAATAATTGAAAGGTACTTTTATTAATAGTCAATAAAAACAACATCTTCATATTCATTACAGGTATTAGTGTATCTTTACATTCAAATTTCATTAACATTATGCTGTATTCCACTGTGTATCAAAGTAATAATGATAGCATTAATAAATCATCAAGTTACTTTCATATACACACACAGGGAAAAATTCTTTAATGAATTTAGAGTGATTTTGATTAACTGATCAACTGATCAACTGATTGATTGGTTGATTGGTTGACTAATACTTAATATATACTGTAAAGTAGATAAGATAGTAACAAACGATTATAGTGCGTACTGTGGATCTACTCACTCTACAGAAAATACTAGCTACTGGTACGAATTTATTTATTCGTTTAAAATAAATCCAATTCCAATTCCAATTCTAATTCTAATTCTAATTCTAATTCTAATTCTAGTTCTAGTTCTAGTTCTTTACTTTGCCTTAATTTTAATTTACTTTACTTTGATTAACTGACTATTACAAATAGAGTATTGTTGGCTATTACTAGGAATGTAAGAATAGCAATAAGTAACAAATATAAAGACATTAGTACTGTTAATGACAATCTAATACATTTACACCTAACTTCAAGCCAATCAATATAAATCCCGTTCATATTGAGCACAGGAAGAAAGAGAGAAAGGATTACTAATAAAAGTAAATCATGTATAATTATACATAACTTATACTTTCTGTACCCTAGTAACACTTATTCTATTCATCTAATTTATGCATCAAAATTACGTACCTTTGTGTAAATTGTACAAAGAATCTTTACAGGGTCTAGTTTCATAATCACCATTACAGCCTCTTTCTTACATCGCCTTTTCAATTTTTTTTTTTTAAAGATTTCTAATTACCAACAGGCATTAACACTCACTCACACACACTTATATAAATAAATAAATAATTTAAAATATTAAGATATCAAGATAAAGTTGATCTAGTTTGTAAAGTTCAGGAACTTGGTTTTTAGACTACACAAAATGTCTTCACCTGTTGCTCTTGTTACTGGATGTACCCAAGGCGGTATTGGTAAGATAAACATACCTTGGCCTAAACTCAAAAAATAAAATAAAATAAAAAAAATTACTCAACTATTACTATTACTATCAATATTTGTTTGTATAAAGGATATTCACTCTGCCTGGAGTTGGTCAAACAAGGTTGCCAGGTGTTTGCAACTGCACGTAATGTCAGCAGCATGGGTGATTTGGAAAGTAAGAATGCTCAAACTCAATTAACAATTTAGATTCTTTTTTCTTAAGAAAAAAAAAAAAACATTAACATCAACATCAACAAAACGAAACTTTATTAATCAATAAGCAAATTTTAGAATTAGGTTGTTCTCTCATTGCACTTGATGTAACAGACCAAGACTCGATCAAGCAAGCTATTGAAGTAATCACTAGAAACCAAAAAAAAAAAAAAAAAAAAGAGAGAGAGAGATAATATCAAATATCAGGACACGTAATTAGACTAACAAACTTCAAACCTTATATACATCTTTTATTATTTATATTATTTGTATTGTTTATAGAAAGTAATTGCTGACGCCGGTCGTATTGGTAAATATAAGCATCAATTTATTATTATTAATAATAATAAATCTTATTCTTTCTTTTTCTTTATTGGCTTGCTAGATATTCTCATCAACAATGCTGGATGCCCGTGAGTTTGATCAATCAATCAGTCAACTGATTGATTGAATTAAGAGAATTATATAGATGGCTACAAACAAACTCTCACACACCAATTTGGATACAATAGTGCGGTTGGAACATTGATGGATATCGACTACAAAGTCATCAACAGATGTATCAACACCAATGTTATCGGTGTCCTCTCTGTCTGTCGTGCTGTCGTGCCTCACATGGTGAACCAAAAGTCTGGAAAGATTGTAAATGTTGGCTCAATTGTCGGTTACACTGCCACACCTTTGGCAGGTAAATAAATAATGATAACAATAACAATTGCCCTTTAACACACAAACCTTTTGTTGTTAGGAATATACTCTCTTTCAAAGGCTGCTGTCCACTCCATGACAGATGTCCTTAGATTAGAGCTCAAGCCATTCGGAATAGATGTCACTCTTGTTGCACCAGGTAAACTAACGTACTGCAGTATACATCTCTTGCTGTTATTGGTGTTAAATGGCTTTATTTATTAGGTGCAATCAAGTCAAACTTTGGTACAGCTGGGTTGTCAGATTCTCTTGTTCCAGAAGGTATGGCTTCTTTTTCTTTTGTTGGAAATCTATTGAACATCTAATCTCTTTATAAATACTTGTTATTCACACATCTACAAGACTCTCTCTACCGATCCATTTCTGACGATATCTATGCCAGAGCCAATTTATCACAAAGTAAGTTTCATCTATTACAACCACAATCAGGTCAACAATTATATATATATATATATATATGTATATTCTTTAGTGGGAGCTACACAAACCGAAGACTTTGCTGAGCACGTTGTATCTCGTGTACTTAACAAGACTCCTCGATACATCACCTATGGCTCAAACTCTTTTATATCCCTTGTGCTCTATTACCTACCCGCCTTTGTCAAGGACTATGCATTGTTCAAAAGATTTGGATTGGACAAGATCAAGATCAATAACTAAAACTAAAACGCAGTTCATTCACTGTGCATCTAAAGCTAAAGCTAAAGCTAAATTCAAATAAGACAATGATGTATATGTATAACAGACCACAAAATAAGAAATGTTGTTGGGGTGGGGATGTGTGGCACCAAAAAAAAAAGAAGAGCATAAAAAAAAAAAGAGGTTCAGATCTACTGTGAGAGATATTAAAATATATCTGGGAGTATCTTGGAAACACTTTAGAGAAATTACCTTGAACAGCCAAGTCACTTTTCTTTTTTCTTGTTTCAAAAGAAGAGAGTGGTACATAATAATATTTGAGAAAATAAAAATAAAAAATACAGCTCAGTTGTACTTTAGCTATTTGTCGTTGTTGCTTTAATCAGATTTCTTATAGGCATTTCTTTCTCTTGGTACAATCAAATGTTTGGTCACAACAAGGCCACACCAAAATGTATTTCACACTCGTACACAGTAATGAAATATAGTGATAATAGTAGAATGACCAAAAAATAAAATAAAGGTATATCTCCAAGTGACTTGGTAAGGTACATTACTATTCACTACTTAAATGCTGTTTAAAATCGATTGCTCAAATATTGATAAAGACATTCATCATAGTCAGTACTTTTCTGACCAGCTGCAAACCAATATCCATGGAAATATTGATATTCCTACCACTAAACTGTTGTTTAAAAGTCAGATAGTAAAAGTTGGTTTGACCAGACTTGAAAAGTTCAAAAAAAAAAAAGAAGATTGTGTTTTTGGTGGTAGAGATATACTACAGTATGCAAGACTTGAGAGAGAGAGAGAAAAAAATATATTTTTACCTGATGGAAATTATAGTATTATGAGCACTTCATTTTATCTAATATGTATTTGAACTAAACCTGAACCTTTATTTGTTTTTTTGAACTTTTTCAAGTCTGTCCACACCAAATTTTTGAATTTAAAGTACAAAAAAAAAAAACAAAAAAAAAACAAATGGTGTTGGTTGAACTACCGCTTGTCTTCTGTTATAGGTGACGACAGGTGTGACTTTAGAAATAGAATACACAAAGATTGCGCGCATTCTAGTGAGCAAAGAATAAGTCAGCAAAAGTCGAGCGCGATTCTGCAATTCAATCGAGAATAGGGAAAATGGCTACATCAACTGCAGAATCACCCTCTTTAGGAGCCGATCAAGTAACAAATGGCACAGAAGAAGCTAGCCGTCCAGTCGTGGGCATCATCTATCCGCCACCTGACATCAGAAGTGTGTAAAAAGAAAAAGAAAAAAAAAAAGAAAAAAGAAACACCAATGTACAAATCATGCTCACATTATTTCAGAGTTTGTCGACAAGGCAGCCTTCATTCTAGCAAACAAAGGGCCTGAGCTAATTGACCGCATCAGAGACAAAGAAATGCATGATTCTCGTTTCAGCTTCTTTAGTCCAACAGATCCTTACCATGCTTACTACCAATTTAAGATGAAAGAAGCCAGAGAAGGCAAAAGTAAGATATATATACACACACATTACAGAAAAACAAACAAACAGAATCGAGAAAACAGCATTAGGATCCAGTGCCTGATCTTTTATTGTGTAGCACCTCAGGTAGAAAACATGAAGGAAGAAGAGATGGAAGAGGAGCCAGAAATTAGACCTGCACCCAAAGAACCAGAACCCTTTGAGTTCTCTGCTCCTATGCCAGCAATGTCAGCACAGGATTTGTAAGTAGTTAGTATAAATGGGATCTGATCTGATCTGATCATAAGCATAAATATATATATATATATACATGTATATAAATTTGTAAATTTGTAAATTTGTACTATAGAGATATCATGAAATTAACGGCACAATTTGCGGCACGCAACGGTCGACAGTTCATCAGTCAACTCGCACAACGTGAATCTCGCAACTACCAATTCGATTTCCTTCGACCTTCCCACAGTTTATTTCCTTACTTCACTGATCTTGTGAAGCAATACACAAAGGTTCTCGTTCCTCCAAAAGACCTAAAAGACAAATTGAAGCAAAACACAGAGAACAAATACAGAATTTTGGATAGAGTTAAAGAGAGAGTTGAATGGGTTGCATGGATGGAGGCAGAGAAGAAAAAGAAGGAGGACGAAGACGAACGCGAAAGAGGTATATTTGGGTCATGGGCTATGTTTTTTTTTTTTTTTTTTTTATTTTTATTGATTCTAAACATATATTTCTTCTTCTTCTTCTTCAAGTTGCTTATGCTAGTATCGACTGGCACGATTTTGTTATTGTTGAGACCGTTGAATTCACAGACTCTGATGAGCAGGCAGACCTGCCACCCCCAATGAGCCTGTCAGAACTCGAAAACATGTCACTTGCACAAAAGAGACTGGCTGCAATGCCTGAACCAATTCAAGAAGACAAGACGGGTGACATGGAAATGGATGTACGTAATTGCGATGATTGGATGGTGCAAACTCACAGCCTATGTCTGCTCGTTAGATTGATGATGTTGATATGGAAGAGGATGACGATGATGATGATGATGAGGCTCCGCCACAAAGACCCTATATTCAAAATGTCAGAGTACCTGCTTCAAATACTGGAATTAAGATCCGTACAGACTACAAACCTAGAATCCTGGGATCCGGACCTGCCAAGGGTAATGAAGCCACACAGCTGTGTCCTCGTTGTGGGGAAGCAATTCCTATATCTGAGATGGACGAGCACGTGCGCATCGAATTACTGGATCCCAAGTGGAAAGAACAAAAGCTGGCTATGGAGGCTAAAACAAAGGACAGTAACTTGCTTCAGGAGGGTACTGATGTAGCCAAGATTCTCAGAAATTTCTCTGGATACCGCTCGGATATTTTCGGTGCAGAAGAAACAGAGATCGGAAAGAAGATTGTCGCAGCAGAGGAAGAGGCAAAGAAGAAACAAAAAGTGGTCTGGGATGGTCATTCTGCAAGCATCAGCTTAGCAACACAACGCGCAACACAACACAAATCTATTGATGATCAGATTGCTGCTATTCATCGAAGCAAGGGATTCACATCGTAAGTATATATATATATATGTAACTTATAATGGGTGACATGGTATTTATTATCATTCTTATCGTGCGTAATATATAGAGAAGCATATGGACCTCAAGTACCAACTGGAGAACCAATGCCAACAGATCAATATGCAGGACAACCCGATCAGCAACAATATTACTATGAAGAACAAGGTTTTAATGGAGGATGGCCAGCCGGACAAGAAAACGTCAAGAATCCAAACCTTTTTGCTAACCAATTACCTGGAATGTACAACCACCCAAACACAGCGCAGCCACCGCCACCCGGTGGAGTCTACCCATACCCTGTAGACCCATCAGTTGCTGCTGGTAATCGCAAGGCAGAAGAAGAAGCCGATGGACAAGCTGACTCAAAGCGGCAACGAAGAGATAATGAGCAACAATAAATCAAGCTGACATGTCTACACACACGCACACGCACATACACACACGCACACGCACACACTTACAAACACAAACACACACACACACACACACACTTACAAACACACAGCTTATATTGACTTCATGTGTTTCATTTCTCTTTTATAAATAAAATCAAAACTACATATCATTGATACGCTCAACCCAACTTAGATCTTTACAAAATCTGATGATGACAATCAATGAAATTTATCTATATATAAGAAGCAGTTTATGATTAAGCTACGTGTACTTGACACAGAGAGTACAAAAGGTTATTCTCTTTTAAAAAAGAGAGAGAGAAAAAAAGAAAAGGGTCTGTTGTACAATACAAAGGTATCAAAAAATGTATACAAAATAAGAACTATACTTATCAACTTGATTGGTGTGAGTATGGACGTGTGCGTGTTTTTTTTTCTTAAAAAAAATGACATGAGCAGTTCCCTAAGAACTTGTGTAATATGCTAAATTCACTTTTCTATAAAAGAGAGTTCTTAAGTTAATGCCACATCCCCTCAATTTTGGTTAAATACTTTTAGAGTTGTAATTTAAACCTTTAAGCAAGAGAGCTGAATGATACTCTTTGTTTTAGTTTAAATGTATGTAGTCATAGAAACGGATATAATAAAAGACCTAAGCTATGCGTTTTATCTAGTAACCCTGGGTTTTATTTTATTTCATGGTATCTTGTAAGTGTTACATGTAAGACACTTAAGAGTGTACTCATCCTCAGTGTTATTTTGTGCTTTAGTAGCACATATCAATTCAGTTAGTTTAATGTTTTCTTTCTTTACTTTATTTTCGCATTCTTTCCGTCTCACACAGAAACCCTTCCGGAACATATTCTCTTAATCACAAGGTACTTCCAACTTGAATTGCATGGTTGAACCTCTCCAATATAGTTCCATTAAGTTTCAACAAGTGCACTGACTTAAGCACATAATACATATTAGTTATTTATTTATTTTTGTTAAGCTTATATGGTAGGAATACATTTACAGAGATGTAAAAATAACACAAGTATTTAGGATTGAAAATTAGGGAAAGGAAGCATAATTTTGATAGCACGTAATCTTCTCTTATTACAGATTATTGTGGCGTTTTGAATGTCGTGTCAACTCATCTTTTCGGTTATAGCTCTTATAACAGCCATCGCACTGGTATAGTTTTTTTTCGTGTACACTTTTTAAATGTCGCTTCATAATTTCTTGGCTTGCGAATATCTTCTTGCAGTCTTCGTATGAACAGGAGAAGTGCCCTATGCCGAAGTGGCTCTTGAGATGCACATCTAATTGATACCATCGGCCTAGCCTCTTGAAGCAATTGGGGTTTGGGCATATGACACTACTATTCTTGTTCTTGGGCTTACAGATATTCTTATAGTGCTCCACCAATTCTTTTCTTCTTTCTTGGGTAAACAGTTCGAAATGGAGAAAATCAAATAGTGCCTTTTTGAATTCCTGAAGAGATCGAAAAATTTCAAAAGGGATTGGCGATATTGTATGGCTCTTCGATGATTCAGAAAGAAGTGAAATATGGGTATTCTCCTTAGAGCATAAATCTTGGCTTTGAACAGAGGATTCTTGCATCTCGTGGTTTACAGGTGTATTGGAATGCACATCCGATGGAAAAGAGTATTGTCTCAAGTGAATATCCAACCAATACTCCCCAGCACAAGGGTCTTCATCTTCTTTTTTTAGTTCAGCTGTAAGAAGCTGATGTGCAGCATCAAAATCAGACTGACAAGGATTGCTGCTAAATGGATGACGGTATAAAGAAAAATCGTGGAGGTGAACAGGGCTTCTGGGGCAATCTTGCCCATTGTCAGGAACTTGTCTATCTTCATCTAGAATAATGGCATATCAAACATCAATTAAGGTGCCAATTAGTGAGTAAGAATAATTGAAGAATTTTGTTATCTTTATCTTTACCTTTTGAACCATCTGTGTTTTTTTCGGTAGATTGGGGCTTAAGCACGCCCTTGGCCTTGTCAGGCCAGGACGACCCACCCGCCTTTTCTTTTCTTCTTAATTCTGGTACTCCTTGAGACAAAGGTAAAACTTTATTATTATTCATTAAACCCCTGGAACTCAAAGGAAGGCATCAATATAGAAAAATATTATCATTATTTTATACATCTGTACCAAAATGATGAGCAAGCTCTATACGCAAATCGGTGAGTTAAACATAGCAACAGACGGAAGTCTGGAGGTTTCTTTTTTCCTTGACTCATATCAGCACAAAAAAATAAAATAAACAAAAGCACACAAAATAATAGTATATTACTAATTATAATTCACAGTAATCAATTAAATGTTTCACTATCAATGTAAAAAAAAAAAGGCTCTTTTAATATATATATACAGCTAATTAAGCAAAAATGGGTAATATTTAATTAATACATTATGCAATCCTACCAGCATAATAAAGAGTTGAAGCATTTTTAAGCAGACTATTAATATACTATTACCAGAAAGTCATTTGCAAGGTCTGTTCACTATTACAACAAGATTTTGATCATTTTGACACCTAAATAAAAATATATACAAACAATTCCTTTTATTCTCAAATAAAATATTATAAATTTTTAACATATATTTCCAATATTTTATATATCTTTCTCTGCCTCTCTTTTCTTCTAGTAAATTAGATGCATATCACGGCTGATAGGCAGACTATGTCTATATTACACCTTGTACTCAAATAGTTGCTACAAAGTTCATAAGCCTTGTATTTTGACTTTACACTTTAACAGATATTGCACTACACTATGATATCCCAAAAGAAAAGAAAAATCTAATATATCGTGCCATATTTTCTGATTAAACTTTGTGTAGGCAAAACACTATCTTGAACGCGTAATAAATGGTGAACTGCTTTTGCTTGATTAAAAAAAAAGAAATCGAATAGAAAGTTAGACAAGCCATGGTCATACATCCTTAACCTGAACATGTATCTCTAGGTATTTAGGATTTCTTCTTATATGTTGGTATCTCAATATTGGGAAAAGTAGATACTGTGAAAGTTTTTATTTATTAAAGAGATAGAATAATATGCTTATATATTTTACTACTAAAATCTCTTGTCATTCAAATTCCTGGTCTGTAACAGCCCCGGAGATCATTAGCTTTCCAGATTCATTAAAAAAAATGAACCAGAGTTTGGTTGTGGAGTCTACATTTCACTCAACTAAGGTGTGTATACCACATCTTTGCCTTTAACACAAACACTCCTATCTGTTAATAGTATTTTTTTTTATTCTGCAACTTATTTCTCTTTATATTTTCTCTATTATTATTGTTAATAAGATTTGGAGGTTCTATATAATATTAAATAACTGGTACATATTTCACGACTTTTGAAAGATAACAATATTGGGTCAGAGACTTATTAAAATACCTTCAAAGTACAATACATTGTCTCAAAATCTTACAAGCTAAACTTACATACACACGTTTAATAAATAAAATATATATAACTACAGTTCCTGTGATGATTAAACACACATTTTGTCTGATTTTTAGGCAAAGCGATACCCAGTAGCTTATAAAGACGTATATTTTAATTAAACTTTAACTGAATTTATCAATAAAAAATAAAGTAACAAGTCTTCTTCATATATATTTTTTTATTGCTATCCTGCTATTTTACTTCGTAATAAAAGCACAAATAAAAATATTTCACTATAAAACATCATGCATTTGTTAAACATATGCAAAGGTGGGTAGAGGTACCTTAAAAAAAAAAAGGTATAGATTAACGACTTTAAGAAGAGCTATTGGCTTAAATGTAAAATAATCCAGAACTCTACGATTTCCATTCGTTAATAAGGTGATATTAATAAGCTAAAATATGATATTCTATTGGCTAAATATAGTGTACGCGCCTGGGTTTATAAATCATAACATTAATACTCAGTGTTACATCCGCAATAAAACGGAGACTTATTAATTTCCATAAACGAATAGAGACCCCTATAATCGCCCTTGAAATCACCCTTTTTTTTCTTTTCGTGTAGTATTTGACAGGCAAGCCTTTGATGGTAAATCAAGAATATTCTGAGGAGCAGTATATCACAAATAAAATATTAAAATAGCCAGATAAAAATCATTGTGCTTATTACTACAATAAATAATAAACACACATATACACACGCACCTTAGGAATACTTCAACTGATGACATATCCAATAAAAGCCCTCGTCTTAAAATGGCTTACAAGAGGTACAAAGGTATTTGTGGCATGCACATGCCTCTTATATCCATTAATAAACCAATTGGAATTTAATGAATACATAGTATTGTGGAATAGAGACATATTATTTGATTCGTTTATTTCTCACTTTCTCGCTCACGCACGAAACGTGTGTGTGCGGATATCAAACTTATGTTTGTTTTTGAGAAAACCATCCTTTGGATAGATATAACCTAAAATACTATGTTCTATCGTACTCTTCTTATTCTTCTTATTATCACTTGCTACTACAGATCTTAATATTTAATTAATTCATTACCTCAAAGTGCTTATTGAATTTCCTTTCTTCTGATATACCACAGACTCAAAGCTTTTTTTTTTCAACAACAATAATATATAATATTGATACAAAAAACAATCAAAAAAGAAATTTTTATTAATGGATAACCGTTACTCTTATTCGACATACTCACAATATTCACCATATCCCACAGAATTGCCAGAATCGCCTCCCCCACCATGTCCTCCGTCTCCACCAGCGAGTGTTTTACGTGAATTAGCTATAGATATACCTATTGGTATAGCACGAGCATTATATGATTATACTGCACAGTCTCCACTAGAGATATCTTTTAGAAAGGGGGACCTTATTCAAGTAACAAAGCATGGTAAACTTACGATGCTTTCACATGCTTATTTTTTCTGGTATAAACGCGCTATTTTTGCTTGATGTTCTCCATTTTTATATATAAACTTCTTTAGTCAATCCTTATGAGTGGTGTGGCACTGCCAACAGTGTAAATGGAATATTCCCTAAAAACTACGTCGAGCCCATGGGGTAGGTATAATCTTTATAAACCTTGTGCATCAAAGTCTTTTGGCGTCCAGAGTCTAACGATTTTAGTTTTTTTATTATTATTATTTTCATTTGCACGTTTGAAGTACATTTGTACCTCATAACACCAGTAATCCAGCTCCAGAAACGCCTCCAAGACCTGCCGCAGTACCAGCCCCTACAACGCTGCCCATGTTTCCAAACTTTGGCACTGGTCATGGTACACAGTTCTATTTTAATCCTGATATGTACAGCTCTCCGCTTAGTGGCGTGGAAAATTTGTCTGGAACACAAAATCAGTTTGATCGAATTCAATACATGAATGAGATCCAGAAGATGGCCCAACAAAACCTTGCTCTTATGCCCAGTGTAAATACATGATAGGTTCCATAGATCATTGCTTCAATGGAGTTAATAACAGTCTTTATATACTATAGTACATCAGTACAATGAACAGCATAAATCAAATTACCCAAGTTCAACAACAAAATCAATTTGAAGAACAGCAACAGATGGTACAGCAAAAAATAGCCGAGATCTTGAATAGTAGTAACAGTGGTGCTACAAATCCTATATATTCACAAGTACCAGATCCCACAACATCTTCTACTAAATCAAAGATCCTTGGAACTGTTGTGAATGCAGCAGTATCAGGCCTCGTGGGTAATTGTAAGTTTATTGTACTGGTCAATAATGTTTTTAATACTCTACTCACCCTCTATTTAGTAACAGGTGGAGCAACGTATGGATTGTTTTAAACAATAGTTCCAAGTATAATAATTGCTATTACTTTAGTTCACATAACCTTCAATATGTTATACATATATACAAATACATATCATTTTACTGTTTATGTTATTGGAGCTGATATTAATGTCATCCACTTTCTCAATTCGTCCATTAAAATATCCTAATCAAGCAAGCAAGCGACCGATCAGTCATTGTTTCTTTTTATTTACTTTTAGGGTGTTTTACAGGCCAAAATAGGTTATATTTGAATTGTTCTTTTTTTCTTTCTATCTCTTATTCTTACTCTCTCTTTCTCTCTCTCTCTCTACTTATTCGCACACAGACTATGCTTTAATTTGGTAGATCAGCACATTATTAATTTCCATCTTCTTCTTACTGATGCTGCGGAAGTATGACAAGGAGTTTGATACACCATCAACGTATTTTTAGTACTACTTTATGCAGTGTACCCTCATACGTCAGTTGAGAAAAAAAGGAAGAGAAACACTAAATCAGTTTTTCTTTTCTTTTTGGAATACAATCTTCTCTAAACATCACTTCTATTTTTGTCTTGTTTTATACTGGCTAAACTATCGGAACCGTACAATTTTAATGATAACAATTACGGTGCTTATCTCTTTGTGTGTGTGTTTTTTTTTCAATTTTCAATTTGATATAGCATATCCATGATTTTGTTTTACTACATATGCTTGGGTTTGCAGGAAACAGAAAAATAAGCTATACATTTCCTGTCATACCAGCAAATTGTTATTCGTGTATTTGCTTATACCACATCTTTGGGATTCCTAAAAGAAAATCTTCTGATACCAGTATATCGTACTCGTACAACCAATGTTGGATAGTGATCAGCGTAATGGATCATCTCTCAATGGTCGGTACTCATGGTACAAATTGTTCGGAAGTATAAAATATTGTACGGCGCCTTAGGTACTTAAATAGTATCTTTAAATTTCAGTTGGCGATGGTTTTATTTTTTATTTATTTATTATTATTATTATTATTATTTTTCTATTTTATATATGGCTCAAATGGATAGTCTTGAATCGTCTATTATAGCTTAATAACCAGAGACAATTACTTGTTCACTTGGCTGATAATTGATATGTCTTTTGAAAATAAAGGAGAGTATCATTTAGGGTTCAAACGTTAGGTACATGAGTTTAAATGTCAGATAATTTGTACCGCAATAACTGTATCACCCAACCAAAGTACAAACATATTGAATCCAGAGTAAATGTGAAGTAAAGCACGCAAACTTAAGAACAGCCATATAAATTTTGTTACAACTTTACATTCGAACGTATAAAAGAGCCTTTATCAGCTTATACTATATATGTAATATTACAAAATTTTTGCATACTGTATACTTCAGTAGAAACCTATACAAAAAAAAAGATATATTGTTAAATAATACTTACTTCACTATTGTCGCTTTTTTGTTGAGGTTCTTCTTAGCTACAAGAGCGTGTAGAGAACCATTAAGCATGACTCATCGTATCTGTTTTTCTCTTGAGTATTCTTTGTTTAGCAAAAGAAAGTCGTCGTGATATCTTGTACTCCCACTGTACGCCTCTTCATTGCTAAAAAGTGTTCAGGCATGAGGCCCCGATACTCCCACATATATATAAATCAATAATAAAGTCAAGTCAGCCTAAACCGTTAAGACAATTAAAAACCATCAGTTCGTTAAGTTTTCTTTTGTACCCAGCTCATTAATCAGACATACGTTGGACACTATAAAATCAACCAAAAAGTGTTGAACTCGCCCTCTTTGATTCTTTTTTCAAGGAATCACATTTACTAAATCTCCCATTTATTTTCATCAGTATGAGTGAAAGTGACCTTATCGTGAACAAACATTTACTTGTGTCAACAATCAGCAACCTTGGCCTACTGCAACAACGTCAATGCATCGATAAAAAGACTTTTGATGATATAATTGCCATGCTATATGCCCAATTTGATAAGTCTCTTCCTCCACAACCGATCGTTGAGCCTATAATTAAGCATGTTCCACACACAAAAGATGAACCGGTAGAGCAGCATACAAAACAGCTGGTAGAAAAAGCAGATAATACACTACCATCTTCACCTAGTGTACAGCCTGCAACCCAATCTCCTGTACAATCTACCACACAGCTCGTAACAAAGTCTCCTACACAGTATAATGTGCTTCCTGTATCCAAGCCTCTTGCACAGTCTACTGTTCAGCCTTTACCACAATCTCCTGCACAGTCTACTGTTCAGCCTTTACCACAATCTCCTGCGCAGTCTACTGTTCAGTCTGCATCTCAATCTCCTCTACAATCTAATACACAATCTGCTTCTCCATCTCCTTTACAATCTCATATACAGTCTACATCCCAATTACCTGTACAGCCTTCTACTCAAAATACAGCTCAACCTGTAGCTCAACCTGTAGCTCAACTCGGCAATCAAGCGACTAATACACCTAGTATCGACATTCCTTCGCCTTATTTTTACCAACCCACAGTCCAATCGCCAATCCAAAATACTGTACAATCTCCACTTCAAACCAAAACGCAAAGCTTTGTTCAAAGCCCCCAAACCTCATCTAGCTCTCCTCCACCTGTATATAGCCGACCTGTACCAAAAGTACCGCTAGGTAGAGTAGTAGCCGTATATGACTTTGTGGCAACAAAGCCAATCCACCTCACGTTCAAGAAAGGAGATATTATACAAGTTACGGATCATAGTAAGTTCTTTTTTTTTACTCATACTATAAACCCTAAAGATGGTCCATGTTCTGTCATAAATATTCTTGCATGCAAATCTAATTTTTCTTTTTAGTAAATACTGACTGGTCTCAGGGATCTCTTGGTAGAAATAGTGGTATATTTCCTCGTAATAGAGTAAAGCCGGAAAGGTAACGTATATGGATATAATCAAAATAAGTCTTATAGAGTGTATGCTTTCATCATAAATTGCTATTTTAATTACCTTTGTCAAGCAGTTTAACCTCTAGTTCAAGACCAAGTTCTATGATTACTCCACCAATGACCCCTCAGATCCCTGGATCACTCTTTTCTTCTAATGGATCTACATCAATTTATATGAATACTGGCTCATACCCATTATCTATTCAGCAACAACAACAGCAGTTTCAACAGCTGCAACAGCAACAGATACAACAATTACAGCAGCAATTATTACAGCAACAGCAGCAACAGCAGCAACCTGACTATAAAGGAAGCTTTGATGGTAATCAAGTACCCGCATATAACTCTACAACAGAAGTCCAGGAGCCATCTCGACTATCAGGACTTGCATCTAGACTTGGTGAAGTAACTCTTAGTGCGGCAATCTCTGGATTTGCCTCTACAGGTAAGTTTAGGTCACAGGAATATAGAAAGTTATTGTAAAGATCTATAAAGCTAGAGTTGCTTTACAAACTCTTTTTTTTATTTTCTGTTAATTATAGTTGGGTCGGATGCAGCACAGTCGCTGCTTAACAATAACTAGCAGAATATTGGCGCGTGTATTGAAATACATATAGTAAATAATATGCGTAAAAGCGCCATACATGTCTATAGATATACATAATCATATAAGATACAATAAAATACAATAAATACAGTATATACACTTATAACAGGCTTTAGAATACGCATAGTCTTTTGGTAGAGCATATATTTGATAATTTAGACTACAAGGGAAAAGAAAAACGCGATTGGTTTTTGGTGTCTATACTGTCTTAAAAATAGCCAGGATAAAAAAATATTTCAAAAATTTGCTTACTTTTTTTTCAAAAATACATACTAAATCTTTAAAGATATATGTATATAATCTTAATTGGCATTCGATAATACAAGCAGTAAAACTTTATATATTAATATACATATCTCGATTTAAAATATACGGGCTATATACGTTGGTTTAGAAATATATATTCAAGGACTACATGTACAAAAAATATATAGTTTTCAAAGATTTTTTTTTTAGAATTTAGTTTTAGTAAATATTACTATTGAAGCAATGCAAGTTATATATATATATATATATATAAAAACAAACTAAACTCATTTATTTCAAGTCAATCAAATATAGCAGCCAGGCTTTATAAAGGAAGGTGTAGAAAGTCAAAGCGCTCACCAGAAAATAGCTTAATTTGAGGGCAGCTTCATAGAGTACGTTATAATATACTCACTCTTACTTGAATTTAACTTTATAGTATATACTTAGTAGAGGCAAGATCTACAATAAATAGTAATAATAGGGCTACGCTGACATATATTGCTAAAAAAACTCTCATAATTTCTATCCACATTTTGCTTTAGTCCATATCGTTGAGATTAAGAAATGGTCCTAGTTTTCAGAAATGTCTAAAAATGAACTACGCATAAAGAGAAAGACATAACAAACTGATAGATTTGAGACATACGCATATTACAATAAGTGCAAGAAGCCCTTTATTTGCTAAATAGACTTATTATTTATGAATAATAGGCTGGACATCTTTTTCTTTAAAAAAAAAGAAGAAAAAGAAAGAAAATAACTTCGATGATCTAAAGTGGATAAATTCATTAATTATATATCTGCTTACTGTCATTATAATAATTGTTTACGAATATACCTCTAAGCAGAAGTAAGCAGCTCTTTGCTTACAGTACTTTGAACCGAGCATACAAGAAGAATATGTCATAATCTAGGCAATTCTAAGTAAAGTGCAAATATATATAGTAAAAAGATTGATACAAGGTAACCTTGTTTCTGTACCAAGGATGAATAATACACTTATAAAATTCAGTTTCATATAAGAATATAACTTTTGTAAAAAATAATACGATCATTACAGAAAAAAATGACGGTTTCAAAGGTCATTCTAGGGGATGGTTTTCGAAACTCGACCTCACACCCATCCTTAAACCCCCGAAAAGGCCTGTAAAATTCTGCTACTAAAGTCGCCATTTTTTTTACCATAGTGTAGTTGTACGCTCCTGAGTCTACGTTAGGCTTGTAACGAACATAAATGCTTTTTATTCAGCAAAGTGCCAAACAACATGAATATATATATATGTATGCATGTATATTTTTTTTGGTTATTTGAAAATGCATCAAATGCTTGTTCCAGGTTCTTGGCAAATAAAGTTTGAGTTAGACTTTATACATAATTTAAAGCAAGGGCTCGGTAATCTAATTAATACAACCTATCTATAAAGTGAAGGAATGAGAATGGTTTAGATAAATAGGCAAAAGAATTTTGACTGATAAGGCGTGGACTCATAAATTGTATTATAGTTACTTGGTTAGAAAAATTAGTAAAATCAACCAGATACTAGCGATAACCCTTCTAATTATTGCATATTTATTGTATAGATGTATAGGAAAGAATATTATAGATGTATATATCTAATTCTAGATTAGATCACAAAAAAAGCTACATTGGCTCTTACTTCTTGATTCTTGATTTCTTATTCATATATAATTGAATTATGTAAAAGTTAATTGAATCGAACTTGAAAAGGAGAATATCATTACATTAGTTATCATTTAATATCAGTAATACCAAAAAATGGTAATGTTAATTGACGATACATATCTATTTACTTTTGCATAAACCATTACATGCATTTCTAATTAATTCGATTAATATCTATATCTTTTGTGAATTAAAATAAATATATTGAAACTTGGAAGGATAAACTATCTATTGATTGCTTCCTCGGAATAATGATAGTCAATTTGGCGGGGACAATTATATATAAGTTACACATCAGGCACCTCCTTTAAGTTGGTTGTTATATTCAGCCTATTTATTCTCTAGATATTTTATTAATAAGAATGATAATATTTATTTCTATAAATTGTAGATATCTCAAAATAGATTATCATATAACTTTTACTCATGTCCCACTCTAAAATGGCTGTTTCATATCCATATAGGGAAGCATGATATGTGAACTTGATTATTATATATTAAACCTTCCATTTTTCTATAGATGTTTTGTAGCTATCCCTTTATTATAAGTTTAACTAATGAGCGCCTCAAAGGTGATCTTTACAAAGTACTATTATAGCATTTGCTGATTAATAACAATCTAATAATAATGATAATTCAAAAATCAATAATTACATAAATTAATACATTGGATAAGAGAAATTATCATTCTTTAAAGCACCATTCTATTTTATCTGATACGCAGAAAGTTTTTTTTTTTTTAAAAAAAAAGGCGTGCTTGTACCTAGTCAAAGCTCATATTTCTGACATACAGAATAATTGGCTAGTAAGGACGAGTAGGATACTTCTACGAGCTCTTTTATTACTGGCTAAGGAGTTCCTTTAACGTTTGAGTAAAAGAAAGAGGTTATTCTTTGAATCATCTAATGTCGATTCCTGATGAATGTTAAAGCTTGCATCAGAAAACCAAAAACAAGGTTTACTCTTTCTGGTTTTCCAAGACACGATGTATTTCTATTTCTAGAAAAATTAACAGAAAATTATTTGCGGTGTTGTAATATAGCCTATTGAAGACGCGGTAGATTCATATTTGGAAATTACCTTTAGATGATCCTTTTCTTATACTATAAAGGAAATTATATGTGATTAAATAAGAATATTCGGTCTAAAAAAAAAGAAAAGAAAAGAAACGACGGTTAGTACTGTTCGGCAATTACAAGTCATTTGTATATATATATATTTAATTGATGCGTAGATTCTATTTGTGTGGTCTCAATTGGCGCTTCCAAGGTAAGCTGACAAGTATGGACCAATTTATTAATAAATAAATATTAAATATTAAGTATTAAATATTAAAAATTAAATATAAAATATATAGATTAAAAAAAAACAAGAGACAAATATGAAATTTTATATGAAAATGAAATAATTCGGAATAAACCCTTATTTTATCATTTATTTGGGGAAACAAGATGAAAATAAATTACAAAATAAATTAGTAAAATCAAATATTAGAAACTATAGATGAGTATATCATCCTCAAATAATAATCTTGTGAACCCACTACTCATAAGATTTATAATGTTCCTTGGTTGCTGCACTGATGTCTCCTCGTTAACAGTCTTGTTAAGGACATTGTAATGTGTACTGTCTCTGTCGAGCAGTTATACAGTAATTACATACTGGGTAAGGAGATATTATTCTTAAGTTATCCAAGTTTCGTACAGATAAATTGATTGTACAGAAAAAAAATCCGGACGAACAATGGGATTAGATGTGTGTACATAAATGCATTTGCAGTCTTATAATATATATTTATTTAGCTAGAGTATTGTCATATGCGGGGAAGGTACAGCGGTCAATTAATGGTATAGACTTACTGTTATTTTTAAACTGGTTGCAGAAGATGCTGGTGTATTCGACCATTCCTCCTAAACAAGTCTTTTCAGCCTCGTGTTAGTGTGCATTGTAACCCAGTGTGTTCTAGTGTAGTGATACTGAATCTAGTATATCTTAATACAAATGATGACCGGTAAGTCAGTATAAAAAGAAATAATCAATTCCATGTCGAAGTTCCCAATTTTTTTTAATCTATATAAACATCAGCATAACTATTTTCTATTCAACTTCTTTTACCTAATTCAACACTTTCTTTCTATATCTACCAAACAAATAGATTAATAATGACCACTAACCATCCTTTCCAAAATAGTAATCAACCTCAATACTACCCCAAACCTTGTTATACGCTCAATGGAGCCGATTCGACTACAAGAAACAAATCACAGCACAATAAGTCATTTTCAACAACAATGGTTGATCAGTCAAGAAATACATTTGATTTCAATTCTCCTGATATCTTTGTCGAATCCCAGGAAGTTTCGTTTGCACCGGAATACCCTGATATTGCCTTGGGTACATATTGCTTATTAGAAAGCTTTTAATTAAGTACATACTAACGTCTACTTATTAGATTTTCCCGATATCTATACTATTATGAACACTGCTAATTCAGGAACATCAAAAGACTTTAACAGCAGCACTTCATCTTTAGCTGGAAACTTGACACCTCAATCTGAACTATTTTACGAGGAACCTTTTGGTGACATATATCTGGGAAATTCCCAGTGTTACGGTTCACAAAGAGCATCAAACAGCATCAGCGAATATGGTAGCACCCACTCGAGCCAGTGTATAGACCAATATCAGACTATTCCTTTGACATTTGATGAACAGCCACACGATTACAAAGTATTGGATACACCACAATTTCAGAATATTCCGCCCTTTTACCTTCCAGTACCTGATTATCGACAATCTTCTGTGCCCATGTCATTGCCTGTATCTAGCTATCATCACACACATCAATCGATGGAATTTGTGGTACCTTCACAGGCAGCACTCATGAGTTCCGCGGTTCCAATTATTCACAACAGACATCAGAAAGTGTATCACAAGTATGCACAGACAAAGACAGTCGATCCTTTGGTTCAATCGAATGAACTTTCTGGCAATAGAAGGAGCGATGGAGATACACAACCCATACAACAGGACAAAAAGTACGCTTGTAACCAATGCGACTATCAAAGCAATCGCAATAGTAATCTTTCCAGACACAAGGAAACACATGCCGCTGATCGTCCCAAGCTGAGTTGTGGAAGCTGTAAAAAACATTTTGCTAACAAGCACAATCTTGGGAGGCACAATTGCAAAAAAGCTTGAATAATAATACCAATTAATATCCATTTCTTCTTTTGCTTCTGCTGCTTTCCCTTCCTCTGCTTATGATAATTGTATTCCTATTGATTAATTTCTGTAATTATACCTCACCTCACTTTATTCGCTTAAATGTCTACTATATGTATTTAAGCTAACGGTGTTTAATTCAACTACATTTTACCTATTATTTCTTTAATTACCTTATCTTTATCTTTCTTTTTTTTTCTTTTTTTTTGGCTTTTACTTTAATATATTAAAGCCGTGATAATCATCTTGGCAATTCAAGGGCAATAACCAAAAAAAAAAAGAAATACTTATGAATATTTTACAATTCAAATGGTCGAAAATTGAAAAATTTTGAAACAGGAATAGATTCACAAAAAGAAATATTTAAGACGGTTTTACATCTAATTCTAAAGAAATTGATAATCGTTATTCATTCCAATTATGCAAAAGAGTCTCTCTTATATACTACACCAGTACCAATTAGATCTATTCTGATGATGATATACGTAAATATATTCCTACAAGCTATTTCAAAAGTTAGATAAGACATGCTGAGACCTATTGTAGCTGATAGCGTAATAAAAAGGTTTGATCGAAATAATTGTTGTTACATTTTTCTTTTTAAAAAAAAACAAAAAAGAATATAGTCGTCCTTGAAGCTTCCAGATTCGTATCAATTTAAAGTAGAAGAGTTAGTACTGTAATACAACATAATAAAAAAAGATGAGATGTTAATTATATATGTTTGTGTCCTTTTCCCATTATTACATCTCTTTTACCTTCTTGTTTTGATTGTTTTGATTCTTCATTCTCTTTTAAATATAGTTATGTTATTGCTTTCTATTGGCGTTTTTCTTCTTCTTTTAATTGTTAAACAATAAATATAAAGTCTTCAGATAAACCAAAGAATAAAAAAATGCATTATGCTTTGAATATAAAACATAGCCATTTGTATATTCTGCTCCCGAGGATTGCAGAACCAAGGCGATGACTCCGAACACGATTTTGTAAATAAAGAGCAGCATGTGTTCAAGGAGCAAAGAGAGGGAGCAAACGTACCAATGGAAAGTATATCTGACTATTGATATGCGCACATGATGATGTTTGTGGCTCGTACCTGTTGAAGCCAAAATGGCTTAGGATAAGAGAAAGATACAAAACAAACGATAAAACCCAAACCTTCAATTCATACAAAAAGAAGCAAAGAAAAAAAATTGTTATCATTATTACCATTCTTCAATTTTATTTTTTATTATACATGCCATCTGAATTACCATTTGAAATCCTGAGCATCATTGCATCCTTCATCTCGATCACTGACAGATTCCACTGCACAACAGTTTGCAAATCATGGACAGCGGCATTTAAAGACTCTTTACGAGGTGTATTGATAATAAATCCAAAGAACCAACAAATCGTTCATCACTTATTAGAAACCGAGCAAGAAATACGAGAAAATGATAAAGTGTCCATATGGGCATTACAGATGATCGGATCGCTCAATATCAGCACGAAAGATTTCCAGCGGATACATAAACGCTTTCCAAGATTGACATATTTAAAAATTAGAGAAGAAAGTCTGGATCCCAAAAGCTATAGAGTGCACTGGAGCGCATGGAAATCCTTGAAACATCTAGAACTCGATCTTCCAAACCTAGAAAGTCGTACCCAGTTCAGTCGGATCCTAGAAATCCTATCATGTTTGCCGAGTCTTGAAAACCTCACTCTTGAAGATTGTACACTAAACCAAGCATATCATTGCACCTGGTTTGATCTCGAAAAGCTTTGTGATTATTTGCCACTATTGGAATTTCTTCGACTACGCATTAAATTTGATGAAATCTCAACGGCCACAGTCGATCGATTTAGAAGCCTAGTCCCAGAAATCCGCTTAAGAACCTTGGAAATTTGTTGCGAAGGAATGGATCTTATATGGTTATTCTATTTCTCTATAAAATTCCCAAACATACACACATATTTTTGGGAAATAGAACAAGTGACAAGCAGTCGAATTGGCCAGGATTCTCGATTTACAAGTTCTATGGATGGTTATGACAGCCTCAAAGTATCACATCATGAAATAATGTCGGTTGCATCAAAGATACCTTGTTTTTTCCCTTACCTGCAGACACTCACAATAAACGAGAGGGCAATTCCAACTTGGAGGCACATATCTTTTTGGACCTTGGTTCACAACTACAGAATCCCTCTTAAACATCTTTATTACCGTATGAACTTGTCCAACGTAAAACCAGAAGTTTCTGAAAAGATAATAGTTAGATGCATGGACGCTTGTGTGACAAAAGTAACAACTCTTTCCATGATACTAGACTACTTGTAAATAAACTATTCAACCATACATAAGCAAATTTCCCTCTATTTTTTTTCTTATTTTGTGGGTATTGCGGATGGGAATTGAGGAGGTTGAAAAATAAAAGTAAATGAACACAAAGGTGTACTTTTATTTTTGACAAACTCATAGGTAGCTTTACAGCCATAGAACATATGCCTACTATTTATTTTTTATCAAGCCATTATATCCAAACTGAGAGGCCTCTTGGTTTATTGGGGGAAAAGGCGTTGTATTATATTTTGATATTAATTTGATATACATAGGTTGAAGATCACAAATAATGCCAGTGGATCAAGTGAAAAAATACCTGTTATGGAGATCTTGAGCCGCGGATAAATAATATGGCTAAGTTATTGGAATTATTACTTTACACATTAGAATACAACAAGAAAAAAAATATGACCTGATAAGAATAAAGCCTACGCAAAATCATTCAATAGGCTCACAACCGACATAGGCCATGACATATGTCTCTACAATATGTTTCTACTTTTTTTCTACAGAATTCTGTAATGAGATATAGTTCAAGCAAGTGAAACTGGATAGAGAACACTGATTTATTAAGCAGCTCTGTACGTTGTTAAATAGACCAAAGAATATAAGCTTTTTCCTTCCTCTCTTTTCTTTAGTTTATTTTTTAGACTTTTAATTAATCATTTTAATTCAAAAGATTTGTTATAATTGTGTATTTTTTTTTTGCTTATTTTATTTAATACTATGAATCTCCAACCATTGTGGTTTTAAATTGATGGGCAAAATATTAAATAATCTTGTCTTATCATATTTAAACTTTTATATAGAATACGCATAATCCAAGCCTTTTTTTTTAGAGAGAGAAATACAACTGTGTAAAACTGACTTGAAAATTTGAGAATCGTTTTATTTTTTCTTATATATAGTAGAATTTGTTTCATTAAAGTCAAACTTGGGAATTGGAATGAGCATGTGTATACATAAATAAATAGATACATAGATACATGGATACATAGAAAGGAGAAAAAGATTGCATAAGAAAGAAAAGGGTATTTGAATAGAAAAAGTTGGGCATACAAAGAGAGAAATATAGTAGAAAAATTCAAAAAAAGATATAGATGTTTATACAGACGATAGTACAAGAAGTTATACAGATACAGATACAGATATATAAATATTATTGCTATTATTATTATTATTATTATTATTATAGGAGCTTATTGCACTTTGTGTGTCTGGTAAGGTTGGACTTGGAGCCAAATGGCTTGTTACAAGTCTCGCAATTCCATGTCAATGGGTTTGGATCGTGCACCCGTAAATGTCTGATAAGGTTATTCTTTTTTGGGAATGTTTTAGGACAGTATATACATTGGTGTTTTCTTGAGCCTGTGCATTTTTCGGGTTGACTTGCCAAATTAATGGGATCCACATAACGCCAAACGTAGGAAGGCTTTTGTGGAGGGATATTATCCTGTACATTGGGATGGTGCTTATATCGGCGCTTGCTCGAAGGTATATGTATTTTATTCTGTGAATTATTTCTAGAGTATATAAAAGAATGTCCTTGAGAAATTTTCGGTAATGATCGCGTTTTTATATCCAATTCTTTGCGTATCAAATTATCGCGCTGGATTTTCTGATCAAGTGGAGAAACATGTTTCGTGCGCTGGGACGGTAAAGTTACTGCGGTGGTGTGTTTAAGACATTGTGAGCATGTGCATGTCATTAAACTATCTTTTTGTATAGACAGTGCTTTGAGTGCGTTTGAGATACAGCCCTCAAAAGGCAAATAGGGATCTAAGCGTAAGATATTGTTGAATGGGGGAGTGTCAGAGTTCATGCTTTTTTTTATCGTTTGAATAAGAGAGAAAGACAAAGGCCAGGTAGTTATATATATTTAAGAAAAATATTTATTTTACTAAATAAACCAACAAATCACCACTCCTCTTCCATAATAAATCTGTCCATCAAGCCCAATTTTTATTTAATATACAGAATTAGATTCGATAGCGGTTTATTTTACTCGTGAGTAATTTTTTCAGATCTTAGTTATAGTGTTAGTGAAGCTTTGTGGTAAACCATATCAATACTAATTTTAAAGCCGTAAAATACATAAGCAAGCCACAATAATTTACGGCTTGATACATCACTTTAATGGTAGAGCTCTTTATCAACTCAATTTCAATTGCGACTCTTGTAATAACACAGTACACCGATTTTCTGACTGCAATCAAGGTTCACTTTCTTCAGAACAAGTGTAGATTCAAACACACTAAACCCGGCTTATCAGACGAATCTGGTAGCGTTGAAAACGGCAAGGCTCACTTAAAATTTGCAAATATCTTTACAGCCCTTTTCTTTCATGCGAGGCTCCAAATTTGTCCCTATTTTTCTCCTCTTTCTCCTCCTCCACCTCCTCATCCTTTATTTGGAAATAGCTTAAATAATTTTTCTTTTTTCCGGTCTTAGCTACAAAACTCCTCCTCGCTTTTCAGATCTTTCTTTCTTTCTTTCATTCCTCCTCCTTCTCCCAATAGAAATTTTGGCGAGACTGCATCTTGATACTACAGTGTTTTGTTCTTTCTGCTCTATTTTTAAAATTTGGGGCCTACAGTTTCTGACAAAACAAACAAATATAAAAGAAAATCAAGCCATAGTGACTAATTAGATATGATGCGGCTTAAGAGAATTCTTTATACTGCTATATTTGTCAAGGTTGTTTCTCGTGAGTTGCCCACGAAATAGATAATCAATTGTAAAAATACAATCTTTTAAACTTAGAATTGTTTTTTTCAGTAATAGCACAAAAATACAAATATAGGCACTATGTATATAATAATATGTGTGAGTTATAATAAATACTGTAATCCAAAGGTGAAGTCTTTGTTGAAAGCATATTAAATGAGTGCTCTTTCTTTCGGTCTTATTACTTAAAACGTAAAATATATAGCATTATATATCTATTAATCAAAGTAAAAAGATACTAGTATGTAAAGCAGACAAGGGAATAAAAAAATGAGAAATGGATATATAGTAAAATAATTCTCATAAGAGGTGCTGATGACAGCCAAAGTCAAACATCATACATGTGTATCGAAAATATTATTTTATACTTCGTAAATGACATGGATAAAACACAAGGGATTTAGAAAGCTAGCTACCATATATAGCGTTCTATTGCCTGAGTATAGGGCACATAATATGATCGATTAAAATTCTTTGAATCAACCGTCTACTTTGTTAGCATGAAACACAAGAGTCATGTCTGCAATAAAGTGTCCCACACTATAATAAACAATAATGAAGGTTATGATCGACCGGTTTTTAAAGGTCAACAACAGCTAGGTGAATGTATCGAATATAATTTATTGGTTGAAGTAACACAAGATCATATAAATAGCCCACCAAAGCCATTTTGTCTTTTTTGAATTATTATCCTGTTTGTCGTATTGAAGGTTATAAAAGATGGATGATTTAACGTAAGAAACACATAAAAATATACAAAGAACAAAGGTTTGAAATTAAAATTTTCAGACAAGATACACAAAAAGAAAAGAATTCAAGACATGGCAGAAAAAGGTTATATGAATATATTTGAATATACAATAAAAAAATATCTTGATGAAGTATTTAGTCTTCATTTTCTTTTTAATATAAAATTATTGGATTATTAGTTGTGGTATCCTTTCGTGAATTGGTATATATACGTTGTTTGACTACAATATCTGTATGATCAATCACGGCTTATAGGAATATTCTACGCTCTATCCCTCGAATAAACAATACTTATATGATATCAAAAACTATTCTAGCCAAAACATCTTAAAAAGAAGGAGAAGAATAAATGAGGTTTGACTACGTGAAATATTGCGTGAAGCTGTTATGGTTGCCGAGCAGAAGCTTTATTCGTATCATTTTACGTTGTTATCTGACTCGATGCGTCGCCGTTTAGTATATATCCCCTAATTTCATACTGGTCTGCTTTTCCACAATGAAATGTAGCAAATCCTCGAACAAGATCAAATTTCCACATATTTCTGTTAGCCTCGTTGTCATGAGCAAATAAGCTGTAGTCTGGAGCGACTGCATTCTTGAGGTTTTTTTGAAATGAATTGAAATAGTCCTCGACGTACTCGATTTCATCTTTCTCGAGTATACGCATACATTCGTACATATTATCGTCAATGAAGCTGTGGTATAGATGAGTCCAGAGAGTCAAAGGGAAATCTGCTCCTGAAGGTAGAACATCTCCACAAAGGTTTACTTCCCGTCGTTGCGAAAAATTCAGTGGATGAAGGACAAAAAAATTGATACTGGTGCCTTTACCAAGAACCTCGCTATCGTGATCAAAATGGAGTTTATCAAATTTCAAGAACTTAAATTCCGTATTCTGCATATCAATACGAAGCTCGCCATTTTTTTCAGAGATTGTCCCATAGATACTTGCGTTATTTATGACCATCCTGCTAAGTTTTCTGCATCCATCAGAAAGCTTTTTGAACGATTCTACGTGGATTGCCGAATCATATACTTCAAATATTTCTAGCCCATGTGGTTGAATTGTGTTGGATAAGATGCGAAGATGCATACATATGTGGCTGCGTATCGTGAGTTTCTTGAGATTCTTACAGTAACCCAAGAGGCTATCCAAGAATATTTCTTCCAATTGTATTGTTAGCTCCAAGTCAACCAAGCGTGTGCATATTCCAATATTGGCAAAGAGGTCCGTCAGAGAAAGATATACTTGGCAATCCAGGGAAAATCTCTCTAGACTTGCTGAGCTGCCGTTTACCATCCGCTTTATAGAGTCGTTTGCAGTATCTTTTGTGGCATCGTCACTAAAGCTGTCGACCTTGTATTTGATACTTTTTATATTTACACTGAGTTTGCTGAGTATACTAATTATACTGCCATGTACGCAATCAGGGAGCATGCTTTCATATATATCGATCGTATTTAGGTACTGAAATGGACGATGTAAATTCATAATCATTGATAGAGTTTTCTTAAAGTCATTCGAGTCATTAGGAATAGGCTCGAAACTGCAGTCCATCTTTTGAATATTTGGGTACTTGCAGGCAAAATAGTAGGCCCATGTAATATCCCATTCAAAAATTCCTGTTGCAAGTGCAGTTATTTTGGTCGCCGGGACAATGTTTTTAAGATGCTCCATTTCATCTAGTTCGATTCCGTAACCTTCCATGCATATCTTCAGATTCTCCAGTTTTGGTAATCGCGCATGTACTGTTTCAATGTCTTGCCATGTACATTTACCCTCACCCCCATTGTAGCCAGTGAATTCTAGCTGTATCAGATGAGGTACAAACTTTAAGATATCAAGGTGTGCCTCGGCCATACTTCCGAGATCATCTCTTGATGAGCAAATACTTAGATGTGTCAGTGATTCCCAAAGTGATTGATCATGGATTTCTTCCAGAATAGTTGGCTGTGATAGTCCGGTTTTTATGCAAAGCCGCTTCAAATTTGGAAAACAGAGTCGTAATGTCTTAAGATGAGAGTCGGTTACTTGGCCATTAAAATTAATGTATAATTCTTGACTACGATGTCCGTGCTGTTGATAGATGCTTTGCTGGATATTGGCTTGAGTGCATATCGTTTCTAATTTTCCCTGTGAATTTATTTCGATACGCTTCCACAAAGAATGCCAGAATACATTGTACCACTGTTTACAGACCGTAATACAGCCAAATTTTTCTTTATTAAGGAGAATGTCTGCAATGATAGCGAGAATCTCGGTAGGAATGGACATCTTGGAAATGAAGAGTTACGTAAGAAACAGTTATTATATATAATAACTTTAACTCCGACAAGAAAATGGCTACATCAGTTAATCACTGTAAAATAGAAAATGCATTTAAAAGAACTTGTCAAAAAAAAGCCTGGAAAAGTAAACTATTCTTAGATTATCACTCATTATATTACAAAGAAAATACTAGAGTATTCTATAAACAGCTTTCACAGATAATCTTACAAATTAAACATACAAAAGGTACAGCTGTAAACCCTTATATCGTTTCAGGTTTTGTACTAAAAAGAGTATGCACCAAAGTCCCCCCACAGTGAAGTGTCTATTGACACGGTATATGAAATATATTGGTGTTTCTTGTATAGCTCATCACAGTGAACTTAGAAGTAATGACGTAGCTATATAAGTGGCCTGAAATAGTTAAATATCTTTTTTTTATATTTATTCTTTAACAAAATTGTCTTTCTACGTGTATTCATTATCTTGTCACTGAGTTGGACATCTACACTAAATAGCCAACCCACTATGTGTCACAATAGACAAGAATGTGCCAATCGACCATTTTAGAAATAGTACAAATATCTTTGAAAACATGATGCTCATGGAGTGGATAATCGATTATAGAGAGTGTGAATTTGTAGCAATTTACCCACTACTGTATTTATTGAACTTATTTCGCTTCGTTTAAATACTTTACAAATTTCTACAAAACAAATATACAATTCTTTCATTGTTTAAACGTTTTTTTTAGAATAAGCTAAATTCGCATTGTCTTATTCGGACGATATAGAAGTTTGATGGTAGACTACTATAGGTGTATACCCCCTCTAATAAAGAACTCTGTGAGTACCATTAATGTGAAAAATCCTTTATTCTAGATCCTCTTTAATATTACTCTAGATTTACCAATACAAATTAGTTAGAGGACACAGAGTCGTAACAGTCTGGACGTTATTCGTGGAATTGAGACCTGCTACCTTGGGCTTTCAACACATACTTCCCCAATTGCAAAATGGTGGGATGATTCCAGAGAAGTTAACCCGTATTTTTCAAGTTAAAAGTATCGTATTACCTAAAGAAGATGTTCTGGAGGGGTATACGATGAGGCGAAATTAGCAAGTACAAGAAATAAGAGCATCACTAACAAGTAAAAGGTGTTTTTTTTTAATCCATCTGTTGCCAGGTATTTTTAGGATGCATTTTTGGCAAATCCTTACATTCTTTAAATAGTCAAGCAAAATATTTTATTTTTATGTAGAGTGGGCATTGGGAAGATACCTTGCGTCGATTGAGAAACTGAGGATCTAGAAGAATTATATAAAACGGATGAGCAAAAGTAGGATATTGAAAAGATATTTTCATTCTTGATAAAATATCAAATCAATGTAAAAAATTGAAATTGAAACAAACAAAAGAGTGAAAAGGTATAGCTTAATCAAAGTTCAACCTTAAAACAACCCTTAAACCCCCGAAAAAGCCTGAAAAAATCTGCAAAAAATGTCCTACTAAAGTCGCTTTTTCTTTTACCATAGTGTATAGCATATTATCATATATGAAAAAGGCTGGTACATGCTTTGCCCTGAAAATCCTTTCTTCTAACTGCAATTGAACTATAATGCATCTGCCTTGTTTTGTAGACGTGGTGTCACGAAGCAACTGCAGATACTGAGTGGATAAAACCATACCATCAAAATTTAAAATAAACAGATACATAACTTTCAAAGTTCTTCTGATTTATTTGTTTATTTGCTTAATTTGACAGACTTTATGAGTACTATACACTAATACGTATATACTCTTTTATATCGAATAAGCAGTATATTATTACAAAGCAAAAAGACAAATAAAATCAACAAAAAATTCTTTAAGGGGAGGATCATCTCCTACTCTGCCGACAGTCAAGGAGAGCTGTCTTATTTTTAAAAAGGGATGCCTGTTGACTGTCTAATATAAATTTAAATCTGGGGAAAGTTATTTCAAGTTCTCTTAAGTGCATATATCTCATATAAACTATGCACTTGAATAGGTAAAGAAGAAAATAAACTTGTTTAATTTGTATCCACATGTGTATAATACACGTACATTAGACTTTTTCAGAATAGCATGCACTTGATGTCTTACAGCCAACAATCTGTACCCTAATATATCATAAATAACATCCCAGAGTGAATAGCTGAAATATTATATTTTGATCAATATAAAAAGAAGACGAAGTCTACGAATAACTGTTTGAAGAAAGTAATAAAAATTTGTAAGATTAATATTCCAAACAACGATAGATTTATATTTGTCTAGAAATGGGTATGTTTCTTATACAATATATGAAAGCCAGGTTGATGCAATCTTACTAGATTTTCAGAGAGGGGGTGTAAGGGAGAATCATCAGAGAGCCCTATAATTATTAATGAGTGGCTATATTTCAGCAAAAAGTAAGCGTAGGTAATCTCCTTGATTATTTAATCAGTATAAAATCCCATTAATCCCATTTAAGTTTATTTCTGTTTGCTTGTTTTCTTCTTATTCTTATATTTCATATTTATAACATTGTCATAATCCAATAATATAATGCCAGCCAAAGTTGAAATTCCTTCCTTTGATACCTACAAACTAGAGACGCGTCTTGAAACATTAACAGATATTGAAAGGCCAGAAGATGCGAAAAGTACAGCTCAGTTGGTCAGGTAAGATGCCCGTCTATAATACGTGTAATCTATCTACCTTCTCACGCTGCTTGCATATTAAATCTTAATTTGATTTAAAGGAAACTTGATTCCCGACTTCTTCCTGTTTTGTGTGTTTTATATCTTTTGAGCTACATTGATAGGTTAATATCGTATAACTTAATGTCGCTAGGACAAACATTAAGGTAATTGATATTGTTATTTTTTATTGATTTTTCGTAGATCAAATATTGGTAATGCCAAACTTGGTGGACTGGAAGAAGATCTTGGACTTTCAAAAAGTGAATATCAATGGGCGCTCTCGATCTTTTATTTTGCCTATGTCATATTCGATCTTCCATCAAATATCGTTATGCGACGCTGGCGTCCATCTCATTGGCTCGGGATCTTGATGGGGTAATTTACACAGGAGAATTATTTCTTTAAAAAAATAATTTTCTTGAAATTACATATAGACTATGGGGTATTGTTGCGACCGCAATGGCTGCATGTACAAACTTTGGCGGTCTAGCAGCCTCTCGTTTTATGCTGGGTGTATTTGAAGCAGGTGAGATCAACAGCCCTATTTATTATTTATTACCTAAATCGTGTACATAATTTTGATAAACACTATATTTAGGCTTCTTTCCAGGTGTTATTTATTTTATGTCATTGTGGTATACTCGCCAAGAGTACGGGCGCAGGATAGGCTTCTTTTGGTCCTTTGGATCACTTGCTGGTGCATTTGGCGGTCTTTTAGCATACGCAATTAGTCAAATTCCTAATGACAATCTAAGGTCCTGGCAATGGTAAAAAAAATTATCTACAAACGTCAGCTTTACCCTGCATCCTTAGTTTACTGCACGTACTAAAAGATTTATTGAACATAAAATCCTCAATGTTACCATTGCCCTGGATTCATTTCTGTAGGCTATTTATTATTGAAGGGGTTCCGTCTATTGTATTGTCTATATTTGCAGCGTGGTACTTACCTAACAACCCGGAAACAGCCCGGTTTCTTACCGGAGAAGAGCGAGGGCTTGCTATAAGCCGTTTAGCAAAAGGTATAAGGAACCCCTTTAGGCTAGATAAATTCATTTAATTCAGCGCTTGCTTTTTTTCTTCAAAATAAAAGATGGTGGTCCAGCTGATGATCATTCTTGGTCATGGCTCCAAGTATCCTCAGTATTTCATGACTGGAAAGTCTACGCTTATATGATCATATACGTTTCAGGAACAGTTTCTCTTCAGGGAGTCACATTGTTCTTACCATCTATTGTAGCTGAGATGGGAACATGGCCAAAATCTACTGCTCAAGCATTGACAACTCCTCCATACTTTCTTGCATTTTTGGTAACAATTGGTATAGGCTATAGTTCAGGTAACAAAAGAAACGTGTATTGATTACAGAAAGAATTATTGTATGTGTACTGTAATTCTTTCTGGATATACTCCCTTATTACCTAGTTTATGGCTCATCAAGTTAAGTTATAGACAAACTGTTTGAACGGGCTTACCATATGATCGCTGTCAATGTTTTTGCTATGGCTGGATTCCTTGTGCTAATGTTTGTACCACATGAAGATGTTGCAGCCAATTATTTTGGGGCATGCATTGTCACTGCTTCTGTTTATGCAAATGTATCAATAAAAGTTGCATGGTTTAATAATAATTTGTAAGTAAATTGTAGGCAGCATATATAAGTATTTTATCTCATTCTACTCGTTGTATTGGTTTAGTGCTGGGCTTACTAGGAGAGCAGTAGCGTCAGCCTCGATTGTGTCTGTAGGAACAATAGGAGGTGCGATTGGAGGACAAATATACTATGGTACGTTTATAGTGTTTGTTTGTAGCACTAATGGCTTGAAAAAAAAAGAACCTTGTATTTATCCAATATCAGTGCAAATTCATATCTTTCCGCTTACTCCAAAATTTCATAGATCCTCCTCTTTACTTTGCCGGAAATACTATTGCGTTTAGCTGTGTGGCTTTCCAAACGCTTCTTACTATTGTGGTACGGCTTGCACTCTTAAGAGAGAACAAGAGACGTGATGCTATGACAGCTGATATGAAAGAACAAGAGATTATACGTCATGGTGGAATGGAACTGGTTGGAGATAGACATCCTGATTTCAGATATGTACTCTGAAGCACGTTCCGATAGAAGCGATCATAAACCATATGCCCTGCCTTTTTGGCGACTGTATAACTCTATTATTGGAACCAATTAGAGAAGAACAAAAGGTCTATTATAGGATCACTGCAATTTATTCTTTTTTATACACTGTAAGAAATGGTGGGATTTAAAATCCCGGCATTTCAGATATCTTTGATAAGTTACGCGCCTTTGAACTATTTATTAGTTAAATAGAAAATTTGTATTTAGCCACTAGTGTTACAAATAGTCTTCTTGTACTTTTGGGGGGATCAATATACTTATTAAAAAAATTACAGCTACTCTAATTCATTAAAAAAAAAAGCTCAATTGAAAAGGAATAATAGAATTCTGTTGAAATTATTAGAATTAAAGAGTCTTAGTACGCGTCTAAATACTGAAAAACCTTTCAACATTATTGCCAGATCGTTTTACCTTTTCTTCTTTAAAAAGCTGCCATTTTCTTTTTCTTACAGAGCGCAATCTCAAGTTGAAAAACTGTAGTACACATTCTATAATATCCATCAATGACATATATTATTCCACTTGTAAGACGTTAAATCAAGCGTACAGGTCGGTTCTTTACACGACTATCACATTTTGGTTACACTTTTGAGCAAGAAAAAAAAACTGATCCAGATACTTTGTGCTTGTATTTATTTTCACTTCACATTCTTCATCCTATCACTACCATAGTATATCATAAAATAGCAAAATAAAGTGTAGCTTTAGTGTAAGGTAAATTATGTAAGCAAGTCTAATAGGCTGAAAGATAATATGTGTATATATATTTGTGCTTGTGTGTGTGTGTTTATGTAGTGGGGAGATTAACAGAGACTTCTTTTTTGGCCACAAGAAATAAGGTCTTTTTTTTTGGTTTTTTTGGTTTTAGTAAATTTTGTGTGCCTTTTAAGACAAATTGTAATTTTCTCAGGACACTCAAAAAAGGTAAAAGAACCGGATCCATGGTTATATTCCCCTGATTAATAAGCCAATAGATTGACTGGACAAGTCTCAAAAATATAGATTGAATGATAAGATTAAACAATATATATTAAATATATTAAAAGAAAAGTAACAAGATAGATACATACATAAATAAATAAATAAACAAATGAACAGACTCTAGAAAAATATACCAAAAAGTCTGCGTCTACTTGGAGAGCGAGTCAAATCCAGAAGTAGTGGTGTTCAATAAATCAATTTTACCCTTACAGATCTTAATATTACAATATTTCCTTCTTCTCCTTTTAAGCCTTGGAAGCAGTCATCAAAGCCTCAATCTCTTCAATCTCCTTGGGAGCAGTTGTCAGGTTGATATAGCCATCCTCAGTAATGACAATGTTGTCCTCAATACGAACACCGCCAGTAGACTTGTACTTGTTAAGAGCTTCCTGGTTAACATACTTGCTGGTCTTTTCATCTTCGAGAACAGGGGCAATCAAAAAGTCGCAGAAGTAAACTCCGGGTTCGACAGTAACAACATTGCCGGGAGCTAGGTTACGGCGCATACGCAAGTAACGGTAGCCAGGACGGTCAATACGTTCAACACCAGTAGGATAACCAGCAACGTCATGGACATCGAGGCCAAGCATGTGTCCGATACCATGGGGGTAGAATGCGGCAACAACATCGCTGTCAAGCACCTCTTGCTTTTCACCCTGAAGAATTCCGAGATCCAAAAGACCCTGGCAGGCAACCTCAACTGCAATCTGGTGGATATACTCCCAAGCTGAACCGGCCTTGCAAGCAGCCAAACAGGCCTTTTGCATGTCAAGGACAAGGTTGTAGATGGCAGCAGCCTCAGGAGTGAACTTGCCACCGACCGGGAAAACACGGGTAATATCAGAAGCATAGCAATCAAGTTCGGCACCTGCATCAACCAAAACCAGGTCAGAGGGGTTAGTGAGAGGTGCGTTATTCTTGTTGTAGTGCAAAGTGGCCGCATTCATGCCAACACCCATAATTGGATAATAGGCCTGGAAGAAAGCACCACGACGGGCAGACTCGTACAAGAACAGGGCGTGCAGCTGGGCCTCGTTCGAGCCAACCTCGACAGACTCCATTAACTTGACGTGAGCATCGGATGAAATCTTGTTTGCTTGACGAATGATTTCGATTTCCCAGTCCTTCTTCACAGCGCGGGCCTCGCCAAAGGCAACCTTGAGGGCAGCGACCTGTTCGAGATTGGCCAGGTTGTAATTACCAGTAACCTTGGTGGTGGGGAGGGTATACACAACCGAGGAGGACTGGAGACGCTGGTCAAGTTGGTCTTCGTAGATAACGGTATCAACATCGTATTTCTCGATGAGAGCACTGATAGAGTCAGGCATGCCCATCCACATAACATCATCAGCGTTGACGACAGGGGCAATCAGTTGGATGTGCTGGGAGGCAATATCAATGATTACATGGAATCCAGGCTCGGCAACACCTATTTAATTTGAGTGAGAAAATCAAGCATGTATGGATGCAAAGGAAAGGGTCTTTATTAGATAGGATGACATGTAAATTTGTAATGGTATGACATTTTGAAACAAACAAGCCCTTTATAGATTTATGTTTTTTTTTTGTTTTTTGTTTTTACCTGTCACGTAAAAAAAGTTGCTCTCCTGACGAAAGGCTTGTTCAACATCTGTATCATCTCTTTCGGTCATGACCTGTCCTTTGAGGTAGATAACACCCTCAGAGGAGTTAAGGTGGTTGAGGACACTTTGGACGTTCTGGCGAGTGGGCAGCTTTGGAGACATCTTGAGCGTGAGAAAAAGTAGAGGAGTTGTAATGAAAGGACAAGCAAAAGTAAAAAATAGAAATAGCAAAACATTTATAGGTACACATAATCCGAAGACCAGGCTCAGTTTATTGAAATGAACGTCTAAACCATTAACCGTCCACTCTGACTCATGGCGAACCGGAATACCAAACCTCATTTTTGTTTTTGTTTTATTTTTGGAAAAAAAAAACCTATAAGTTTAAACAGAAAATCGCCGGCTTTCAAATCAATCATAAATCAATCTTCTTTCTAATGCATTTTCCTCACTTTGGCCGCCACAACAAGGACAGCAAGAGTTCCAAAGACGAGAAGACTGATTCCAAGGAGTCTTCTCGTGAAGGGTCACCCGCAGTTGACAGTCCTAAAGACAAAGAACTCAAGCCCCATTCAAGCCCCAACTCTCGTCCCAACTCTCGTCCTAACTCTCGTCCTAACTCTCGTCCTTCAAGCCCATATCCAAAGGGATTCATGAATGATGCAATGCGCAATACCCATCACCCTGATGTCCTCTACCAATTCGATGATCCCATGGCTAGACGTCTTGGTCCAGTCCCCTCCACCGATCCCACAAACACTGGTGCTTAAAAACAAAACAGAAACAACTTTCCCCCAAGACAAACTTCATGTCAAATTTCTTTAATGGCTATTTCCTCTTCTATCATTATCTCACGTACTTATAATTCTCAATAAACTAAATCATTTAATAAGATATCTTTGATCTGGGCCTTTCAATGTACTTTTATTTACAAAACGCTCAAAAAAACGGCGATGGATTTAATGTTGACTCCACAATGATCCGAGTAACACGATAAGGATCAATATTGGACGCCTATAAGAGGGTTGAAATCTAATTATAAGTAATTTGATTGGTTAATTTAAATCCACTCACCGGCCTTCGATCTTCCATGTACCCTTTACCGTCCTTGGCAACCTGTCGTGGAATGCGAATTGACGCTCCCCGATTTTCAATTCCGTACGAAAAGGCATCGATGTGACCTGTTTCATGACTGCCAATCAGACGCAGTTCATTAAATTCACCATACTCTTGTAGATGCTCGTAATGACGATCGCCCATCTTGTCAATCGCCTCTTCCATGACACACATTCCACCATCTTGTCTCATAGCGGCTGTAGAGTAGTCTGTAAACACACACACACACACACACACATATATATATATATATATTTAGAGAATTATTAAAGTGATATCTTTCAAACTTACTCGTGTGACAACCAGCACCATTCCAATCTCCTTCAACTACTGGTTTAGGATGAAGAGAAACAGCAACTCCAAAGTCTTCTGCTAGTCTTTCCAATAAAAACCGTGCTACCCATAATTCATCTCCCATAGAAATTCCTCCACAAGGCCCAATTTGGTACTCAAACTGACTTGGAGCCACCTCTACATTCACACCTGCAATCTTAATTCCAGCATACAGGCAAGCACGGTAATGAGCCTCGATTAGATCTCGACCAAAGATTCTTCCGGTGCCAATACCACAATAGTACATTCCCTAATAGATAGACAGATACTGATATATCAAGACAATCTATCTATTCATCTGCAAAATGTGTGGGAAATTACTTGTGGCTCAGGATAACCAAAAGTTGGCCACCCATAAGGTCTCTTGGATTCTGGCTCTACAAGGGTGTATTCTTGTTCAATTCCAAACCATGGGTCTTCTTTTGCGTAGTTTTGCATAGTTTTGTTACATCTGTGGCGATAGTTTGTTTCCAACGGAGCTTCATCCTATTTTATTGGTTAAGGAAAAGAAAAGAAAAAAGGGATATATTTATATTCATTCTCACAGAATCGTATGTTTCGCACAGTACAAGAATATTGTCGCCTTGTCTAAAAGGGTCTGGGTATATGGCTACTGGGTGCAGAGTTATATCTGAGTCATGGACATAAGCTTGACCAGTAGAGGCACCGCTACAATGCCAGTCGGCTATGTCTTTTGGGCCAAATGGTTTTGATGCCAGTGTTTTAGTCTTTGACCTTAGTTGATTAAAGCCATCTACCCATATAAACTCGGCCTGAACTAAACCATTTTGGTTTAATTTCATATATTTAGACAAGGTTGAAGCATTGGATAAGATGGGCATACTGAAACAAAATTGGGAAAAAAAGGAAAGAAATGGACAAAAAAAAAGAAAAGAAAAGAGAAAGTGACTTGTTAGATTTTACATATATATATTTATATATATATAATAAAATAAGTTATGGTATGGTAAAAAAATAAAATAAAGAAAATAAGTTTATGGCAGTAACACAATTATGAGCACATATTTATATATAAGGTTGTCAAAGATGCCTTGAGGATGTCATATGCATGTGCTCTAAAGAAATTTTGATTAAAATATTATTACAATCTTAAAAGGTTATTTGAGTACTTCTTTAGTTTGTATCACAAAAGAGTACAAGAAGTGTAAAAAAATGAATAATCTTAAAATACACTGTTCTTTAACATCTACGTATTGCATTGGTTGAAAGCAACAAAATAAAATAAAAAATAAAAATAAAATACAAATAAAAATAAAAATATAAGAATATAAAAATAAAAACAGACAAGGCAAAAAAAAAAAAGAGAGATAGAGATCATTCGTTGCCATGGGAACTTGAACTTGGATCGCCCGTTTTGGATGTCTGGCAAATTTCAAACTACGATGATCCCGAGTCATTTTTTTTTCTTTTTAGCTGTGGAGTATGCAAACACCTCCAGCCTTTTGGACCGTCCCTCCGTCTTTCCACCATTTGGGCGCTGATTGTTATTGTTAGATTCAAATCTGCTATTATCCCTGCACATCGTCTCTTACTTCTTCCGCTCATCACATTCCCTCCCTTCCGACGAACGCTCTTGAGTGGAATACTTTAAGGTAACCTCTTGTCTCTTTACCCCTTTGTCGCGTGGGAGCGTGACGTAGTTTGAGAATTTTTTAAAAAAAATCTGTGTGTGTATGGGTGTGAATAGTAGTATAAATGAGTCAAAATGTGTGCGCTAATCTCGACATGTTTTCATCTAGAAACAATGGCTGCCACTGTACCTCCACAGCAGCCACAACCAACGAGTACTGCCCAGAAGCTAGCTCTTGTCAATGAGCAAACATGGCTAACAATGGGTAAAATACTCAATTCATAGAACTATCCAGAATAATACACACATACATACACTCGGCAATTATATATATACATATATAAATTTAACTTACAAACAATACCTACATCATTCTAAAAAAACCATCTATTCCTTTATATATACATATATACATATATATATATATATATATATTTGAATGACAGGCAACTTAGCTGAAATGATGACCGACTACGACAAAGCCATCAACTGCTATGAATCTGCTTTGCGACATAATCCCTACTCTGTTGCTGCTCTTTCTCAGATCGCGTCTCTTTGCCGGGGACGCGAACAATTTGGCCGGGTAAAGAAATATAATATAAAAGAGTTGAAAAGAAAACGATTGGGTCTCAAATAATAATAATAATAATATGAACACTCATGTATGTTTTTTAGGCTGTAGATTTTTTCAAACGTATTTTAGATATCCAAGAAAGCAATGGCGAGACTTGGGCTGCACTTGGCCACTGTTATTTGATGATGGACAACCTTCAAGAAGCCTATCAAGCTTATCAACAAGCACTTTATCATCTCTCTAATCCAAAGGTTAAAATTCAGATTTTATTTTATTTTTATTTATTATATGATAGAGTGAGAGCGAGGCAGAGAGAGAAACAGAGACATATACATATAGAGATTTAGAGACATATATTTATTTATATACCTCTTGATCCGATAAACTCAACTTTGTACATGTATTCCATGTTTTTTTTTTCAGGATCCCAAACTGTGGTATGGCATTGGTATTTTGTACGACCGGTACGGATCCCTTGAACATGCCGAAGAAGCCTTTTCGGCTGTGATGAAAATGGATGGCAAGTTCGAAAAGGCCAACGAAATTTACTTCCGTCTTGGTATTATATATAAGCAACAGCAAAAATTTGATCTTAGTTTACAGGTAATATTCTCTCGGTCTTTAATGGGTTAACAACAGAAACTGTAGAATAAATGAGAACTGTACACGATGAAGATCTTTGTAGGAGTAGACGACTGATTAACTTTATTTATATGTGTACCTTTGTCGGCTGATGTTTTTTTTAATACTCTGCTTTCAATTGTAGTGCTTCCGTTACATTTTGCATTCTCCCCCAAGACCTTTGACCGAGTCCGACATTTGGTTCCAAACAGGACATGTTTATGAACAGCAAAAAGAGGTACAATTTCAAAGAAGCACATAAATAATGTCTATTTGTATTTGTAGTTGTAATTGTGATTGTAAATTTAATTGTAACTGTAACTGTAATTATAACTGGAATTGGATATGTACTTGTAATTATTTGTATATATTTATTTATTTAAATTTGTGTAATTTTAGTACGAATCAGCAAAGAATGCCTATGAACATGTTCTATCGGAAAATCCAGATCATGCAAAGGTTTTACAACAACTTGGCTGGCTTTACCATCAACAAAATACTTCATTCTGCAATCAATCTTTGGCTATTCAGTATCTAACCCGCTCACTCAAAGCTGACAGCAATGATGCCCAATCATGGTATCTTTTGGGTCGATGCTACATGGCTGAGCAGAACTACAATAAGGCTTATGAAGCTTATCAACAAGCTGTTTACCGGGATGCCCGTAACCCCACTTTCTGGTGCTCTATTGGTGTATTGTATTACCAGATTAATCAAGTAAGTGGGAAAAAATCTTTAAATTTTATTGTATGATATGATATGATGTGATGATTAACAAAAACAAAAAAGTACCGAGACGCATTGGATGCTTACAGCAGAGCCATTCGATTAAACCCCTACATCAGCGAGGTGTGGTATGATCTCGGAACACTTTATGAGTCTTGCAACAACCAAATACAAGATGCCCTGGATGCATACCAAAGAGCTGCTGAATTAGACCCTTCAAACCCCCATATCAAACAGCGTCTTGAACTTTTGCGTAAATCTCAGTCAGTACAATCTACACAAGGGTAAATTACTCAGATTTTAAATTGTTTATACTTAACTATAAAGTGCTTTGTTGTTCATCCACTGAATAACACGATTGATACTTATACCTCGAACATTTTTTAGAGCTGGTAGTGCGCCTGTTCCTCAGGATGTCAGTAACCCAAGCCAATACCAAAATGGTCCTGGTGCACAGCCCTTGAATGGGCCTTCTTCATACGGCCAGGTACGTTAGTAAATGTAGAGCATTTTCTTTTTTTTTTAAACAAAAATATTATTATTATACTCACATCCACCTGTATCATGTATTTATTTTATTTTACCTTAGTCTGCTCCATCCGGACCTCCATCTAGCATGTCTGCTTACCACACAGCAGCAAGTAATTCCCAGTCTCGTGTTGATGATAGAGCACCCATACCTCAGCTACCTATTGTAAGACTAATGCGATTAATTATCGCCAGAATCTCATAGATTTCTTTTAAAAAACAATAATAACAATATTTCTGTATGATAGCATGCTCATTCCTCTCATGAGCCCATATCGGGTCCTCCCCGCGATTTGCCTATGCCTGGTGGAGGTGGTGGAGGTGGTGGAGGAAGCAGTGGCCGACATTCCCCTCGATCCTATCCATACACACCTACTCGTGATGAGCTGCGAATTCCTGACATCGGTGGTGGTGGACGTGCACCTACACCTACTGAGCGTTCTCAAATGAACCCTATTATGCACGAAGATAATCGCCACGGCAGCGTTGGCCCTTCTCCTTCTCAGCCAAACCTTCCCCCTATGTCAATGCGCCAATCTCCATTCGTCAAATCTGCGACACTCGATCCTTCCACCCGATCACCTAACCCTGAAGGTGGAAGAGCTGCACAGCTGGTTTCTCAGTCGCCTAACCCCCGTCCTCCCTCGCGAGGACCTCTTCACCTCCAAGGATCTCATTATGATGCCCCACAACACGCTTCCCCACGTTCTGGTCATCATGAAACTTATGGATCAGCGCATTATGATCATACATTGCGACCTGCAAACTATGACCACGAGAACGCTCCATACCGTCCCCAAAGACCATCAGAAAGTGGTCCCATGTACGGCTCAAAGCAACAGCAAGCTCAACAACACGCACATCAACAAGCTCAACAGCAGCAAGCACAGCAACAGGCACAGGCACAAGCACAGCAACAAGCACAGCAACAAGCACAGCAACAAGCACAGCAACAAGCACAGCAACAAGCACAGCAACAAGCACAGCAACAAGCACAGCAACAAGCACAACAGCAAGCACAGCAACAAGCACAGCAACAGGCACAACAACAGGCACAACAACAGGCACATCAACAAGCACAGCAACAAGCACAACAACAAGCACAGCAACAGGCACAGCAACAGGCTCAACAGCAAGCACAGCAACAGGCTCAACAGCAGGCACATCAGCAGGCTCAACAGCAGGCTCAACAACAAGCTCAACAGCAGGCTCAACAACAAGCTCAACAGCAAGCTCAACAGCAAGCTCAGCAACAGCAGGGATCTTATCATTCTGAGTCTCAGCGTCATCCTCCAGTTGTCAAAAATGAAGAATCTAGTATTTACCGTAGCGTTCCTCGAAAGATGCCCATAGATGAAGAAAGACGTATGGAAGACCATAGTCGAATGGAAAGCCGTGCTCGGACGACAGAGTACCGTCCTTATGGTGCTCCTATTATGGCAGACCCAAAGGTTGAAAAGATGGAATTCAAAAAAGAAGACAAGAGTCAAGAAAGTGACGGAGGATTGGCACGGCAAGGAATGGATGAAGATTTTGATGAATCTGCAGCTGATGCACTTCTTAGTATTGGTGGATCTCGCCCAATAGTCGCAGGCGAGAAGCGATCGCATGAGAAAGAAGGACCTGAAGAAGAATCAAAGAAAACCAAACAAGCACACGAGGAAGAAGAACCTGAAAATATGGATAAGGATCAACAGGGATCTTCTTCAGCATTAGTTCCTGCTGCTGATAAGACAGAGACCCCCTCGGTTCAACCGCAGGACCAGCAGCAGATGGAGAGAGATGACAAGCCAAGTCAGATCGAGCCACAACTTTCGGAGGAAAGACCGTCTTCACCAGCCGACCACACTGCAGGTTCAGCATAAGCAAGTGGTGAAGCCCTTTCCACACACCTCACACAAACACAATTCCACTTAAACACTCAATCACACACACACACACACACACACACAAAGTTCAAAAAACAAAACAAACCAAAAAAAAACAAATTATATAAAAATCACTTATATCATCGCTCCTTTCAGTTTTCCTTACATTTTATTTTTCCTTTATTACTTTGCAATCTACACCACATTTAAGGCTTGAATATGTTATGCTCTATAAAGACACTAGTGTATATACAGACACATATATTTCACATTGGTTATTAATATTTCTTTTTTTTTTAAAAAAAAATTATGCAAAGATTATAGAAGATGTTTATTTGAAAGAATGTTTGAACGTAAATGGGAGAAAGGGATGGTGGTGTACTGCTTTTTTTAAAAGGGTGCTTAAATATGTAAAGAGCTAATGAGAAGTTAAGCACGTCTTTGTTGAAGACCTTCAGTATGAACGTTAAGCGAACTTCCTGTAGGGGTACCAGCAACAATACCCTGGTAGTCCAAACGATAGATCTTGGGAGGCAGACCCTTGCCAAATTTGCGATTGATGTGGTTGGAGCACAAAAGTCCTGAGAAAAGTACAAATAGATGAACTGGTACCATGGCAAATGCAACAATGTAGCAGATAGTCAAAGCATCTTTGGTGAATGATTGGTACTTGAATTTGCAACCAGGAAGAAGTGTACGAGGGAAACATTTGTTGGATCGTTCGTGAAAGTCAGAAAACATCTTGTAACCACAGCAATGCAACTATATGAACAAAACATTTTAGATGATGAAAAGAATAAGAATTAAAACTAATAATATATATGTGTGTGTGTGTTTGTCGTACATTGGTCTGAATTCTTGCTCTTCCATCAGAATCTAAAGTGTAATGCCATTGGTATGATAGTTTTCCCTACAAGAGTTGAGATTGAGGATGAGTTTTTTTTTAGCTATTTTCTTTTTTTTAAAAAAAAAACTATATGATTTTGTGTATAGTGTTTTACCTCGATATTCCACTTGTTCTTTCGGTAAGCCGTGTAGCCAACTGCAGCAATCAGACCAAAGCAGACCCATAGTAAGAGATTGTAGAATGTAAGTACTGCACGGTTATTCAACATGATTCCAACATAGCCAAGTAAAGAAGTAAACAAGCATATTACACCCGTAGCTGTGATCACTATAAATAGAAAAACATATTTGAATAAATTATTGATGTCAATTTTAGAAAGAAAAAATTGCACTCATGTATATAAATATATATTTCCTTACAATTCAAAATAATCCGCTCTCCTACAATCAAAACATCGGCTCTGAGGAAGACTATGGGTGCAAGGATAAATATTAATATCAAATCTGGGGTAGCATTTTTTTCTGGCTTTTAGTATCTTATATTTACATTTGAAGAATGTTAAGAGAGCCAGTACGAGGATACCAAGTCCGTAGCAGAACAGCTACAAGTCAAACAAAATATGATCAATGTGATGAAATAATAAAATTAAAGTTCAGCTTACTGCAGTATTAGAGAACAGAAGCCACCATTTATGAGGAGTCCAGCGCTGTTTTCGTTTGATATTCGGGTCCGGCGCATATCTCTTTACGACGTGAAGGCTGGCAGTGTCAACTGAGTTACGCGACGCACCTCCAAGAGATTGCCGAGATTCGGATTTCATCCATGGCAGGACGGGCTCTGGAAGGTCTTCAACGGAATCCCATGGAGTGTTAGGCTCAGTCGAGTGGCCATTCGACGTCGATGGCTGCTGGTGATAAGCAGCAAGATGGTTTGCGGATTGCGGCATAAGGTTTTGCGATCAAAACTTCTTGGTTGTATAATTGGCCAGGAAAGCACCTGTATCTAATGAAAGGACGGAAAGAGAAAAGAAAAGAAAAAAAAGCAAGAAAGAAAATCAAAATCAAAAGAAAAAGAAGAAAAAGGAATATTGATCTAGACAAGAATAGAGGAGAATAGAGAGGATAAGGAAAGCAGGGAGCTTTGATTTGGGAAGCAAAAGGGGTTGGAACGGGTGGATCTATTTTTAGTAAGTAAAAAAAATAAAATAAAATAAAGAATAGAGATCCCCTTGGTTACAGATCTTTCTTTTTGCTCCTTTCAGGTACAGTTACCATGGTTGCAAAAAGCCACTATCAAATTTATGGTTTGGAATCAATTGATGATCTCGAATGGCATCTCGAGACATCACCTATCTTTAAGAGACTTACAGTCTCACATTTATAAACATATGTAAAAGATCATCGCCCTTTTGATAGTTCTCGATTCTCGTGTATCCTACAGGCATAATGCTATCCAATCTATGAATAGTTTGATAGCAACGTGTATAAAACTTTTTTCTTAGATTATTTCATATAATCACTATTTTATGGTTACTGATTTCAATAAAGAACCATATCTTGCAATTTGTTAAAGACAATAATACCCACATCAACTTTTTTTTTCTATATATATATATATATGCATATACGAAGAGTACTAAATAAAGTACGGAAAACTCGGAAGTGCCCGATTTAAGTATTCTGATTATTGGTGGTTTAACAGCGCATGAATACAAGGGTACCACACACACACACACAAGGTGTATACATTGAATTACTTATTTTATTTTACTTCCTTGTTATGTATATATAAATAATTAATAATTGAGATAAAAGAGAGAGAGGGATATTGATATAAAGGAAGGAGAAAGGTATGGGTATTTTTTTAAGAAGGTTGATAACTAGATTTTTATATAGAAATAAAAAAAAAGATAATACATGTATTCATATACATACGTTACAAGGTTCAAATGAGTTAAAAATATTCAAAAATTCAAGTCCATTCCATTCAATCTCACAACCCCCTTTTTTTATTATTATTTTTATTACTTTAATAAACTTCATACGTGCGATCCATACCCTTTTTTATTAGACGACCCGGGATATTCTTCAACAAGTCGACTCTGTTCAAATCTCTCCTGGGAAGGGTAAGCGTCTACTTGAGGGTAATAACTTGAAGGTCCTCCAGAAGGATACCCGATACCCTGTTCTTGGGCAAATCTCTGTTGATCTCTGCCAATTGCTGCCTCATTCTTCTCATACTCATCCGCAACCCAGAGTGCCATTGAACACACATTTGTCCACATAAAGATGAGGTTGAAGAAAGGAATGAGTTCGAGAGCTCCAGCAACTGCACCAAAGTGACAATAATCATTTTTGTTGGCCCAAGCATATCTACGCGACTCTGAGACAGTGAATCCACGGAATTCGAGATCATAATGAATACGATGACCCCAGCTATTAGATATACAAATGTAAGCAAGAATAAATAAATAAATAAAAATATCTATCTTTCTTTAATTTAAGTTTACCTGATTACCCAGCCATTGATATAACAGGCAATTATAGTACCAAATACAGGAATCAAATGCAACGGTGCAGTAACAATCATAATAACAACCTTCAGAACACAAACGCAATATATATATATATATATATATATATATTTATTAGACTCTGACTGTTTTCTTATTCGTTTTTTTTCTTATTATTAAAACATTTCTATTTCACTATTATTATTTACCTGACTAATGAGTAAGAACCAAACCAAAGCTAGGCCTGAAGAAATTCCACGGCAGCACAATAAGAAACCGTCAACCGGGACCCGGGTAGCAAACATGCGGGACATTCCACGTGCCATTAATGTAGCATCAAAAAGAGCGTCTTGGAAGAATGGCATGACAATTGCAAAAAACAACAAATCCATGATGGCAGATTCAAGCAGCACAAAAATAACGGAGCACAACCATGCCAACCATGTAGGACAATTGGCATTGATGAGAGCATGAGCCTGAAGAGGTAATAGATACACGAATGCAAGAACGATTGAGACAATGCCAAATGCAAGTGTCAGGAGGAACGGACAAAACATCTTCGACCATAGCTAGAAGAAAAGGACATAGTACCACATTTAATTGAACGTTTGTTTACTTTTGTATTGTTGTTGTTATTTATACCTGAGGATGGGCTAGGAAGTAAAAGGCACCGGAGATAGGGTACGTAGAACGAGGTGCCATTAGCTAGCAAGTGTATAATAGAATGAGAAGCCAAGAAATTCCTAGAAGAGAATGATGAAACGAAATTAATTTAAGATAATGTGAGGGAATTCATGCGTGACGTCCTACATACCTGTCTTTGTCTGCCGAGAAACTCTTAATTTCGACAGCACGAATTAAGTAACGTCTATACACCAAGATTATATTGACTATATTACCAAAAAAACCAAGTATAAACTTTTGGTCCTCGAATACTAATACCCTTTACAATTGAACTTTTTATTAAACCTACTGTCTTCATTTTATAAGCAGAGAAAAAAAAATAGGCTTCGCTGTTAAAAATTCTTATGATACTTAACACATCTGTGAATTTTTATTTTAGTAACAAAGACTATATAAAAAGAAAATATTGTGGCTAAGATGATAAAGAAAGAGAAAGAAGGAGTCTAAAGGCTAAACGGAACATTATCATTGTATTGAACGTTTCATACACCAACAAGATATCACTCAATATAAAAGCACTCACAAATTAAAATTTGAAATCCAAGTACATAGAAGTCTGGTGAGACCTTTGGTAAGCTCTGAGCTGTAAATACCAAATTTTTTTTACTTGAAAATATTATTTTGAAACAATAAACTTTTGACTAGAAAGTAAACTTAACTATTTCCCTTTGCGGCCCAGTAACTTCCGACCAATAAGAGAGATTCCCAGATTAGTTCCTCTCGTATTATTGCCATTTTTGGTGTCATATATTCCATAAATAAGCCCTATTGAACTGAGCCCTTCACGTTCTGCAAAGAAATACATGGATATATTATTTAAACGTCAAAAAGGGGTTTCTCTCTCCCTCTCTCTTTCTTTTTTTAAACTCTAATTACTCTACAAGGGCTCTTAGTTTGAAGAAAGATTACCATCTCATATTAGAGTATATTGGCTTAGCTTGACTCAAATGAGATTGGCTTGGTTAATAAATACTTTTTAGTTTGGTTTATTAATGAGTGTGGTGCTCTAATGTATCTTATTCACAGTATATATTAAGGCATGTCTATTTCCTTGCGATTTCAAATTCTACATTTTAAATAAGTTCTGTCTATAAAAAATAGAGCATATTCTCTATTTACTAATACTCTGACCTTTTTTTTTTGCAAACTTGGTAAAAGCAAGGGTATAAAATGGAGGTGCAAATCCTAATACGCCAACATTATTAAAATTTTACACCCGAGTATACGGAATGAACAGTCAGATTACATCCCAAATAGCTACCCTTAACCACGGCTCCAAAGCCTAGTTAAATACGTAGAAATGTCTGTGTTTTAACAGATAACATGGTATAACAAATTGGAAGTCATAAAACCCAAATCAATGGATATCTCTTTAGTTAAAAATCATTAACTAAAACATACTTAATACGCAAATGAGCTGTCAGACTTGGACAGACCAGATTATGTGACTAATGAAGCTTACAATAAGTGTGCGCTGTTGAAGATCGTTGTGAGATTAATATTGGCTACTGTTATTTCATTTCATCATAAAAAGAGCTGTAATTTCTTGTATTGATATTCGCCCAAGATATAGCAACATTAATTGCAGAATAACCACGAGCATACAAAAAACAATGCATTACATGAGAATTTATCATTTTATTTACTTGACAATACTATGTGATTATAGTGAATGCAGATTAATTTATATATTGGAATCTCTTTTATATATTTCTGTTGAAGTATAAATGTATCGTATATATATATGTAAATATATATACATGAATAATAAGCCCCATTTGACTATTTAACTTTGTTTTATTTCTGACATAGAAATATACTTATGCCCAGACATCTGGATCTGCTAAAGAATAATCTGAAATAGGCGTACTTGATTTAAACTCATGTACAATGCGCATAAGATGCACTTGTAAGCGATTGCAACCATATTTTCAAATATTTGTTACGTTGATACTACGTACTTTAACTTGATACTTTCATAATATATATTAAGCATATCTATCAGCAGGCTTTTGACAGTAGAATTTGCTATAAAATACAAGAAAATAAAGGGATATAAGCATATATATATATATTATAGAGATTGAAATATGTGATATGCGATAATTTTAAAGTACATAATCCTACTCAAGTTTGTTAATATTGCTATACAGGCTATGAGCTCTATAACACCCGTTGTATACTTACGAGTTTCGGATGAATATTACCTACTTGAAACTCAACAAGTCTTAAAAAAATAGACAGGAAACCAATGGAATATTTTCTGTAGATTGTACTGATTTAATATTTTAATTAAGCTCTGAGTGTCCATAAAATTAGCGGTCAATAATTTACTATCATAACCATTATTATACAAGAAGGAAGGGTGTGGTAATGAACCATATAAGAAATTACAGATTGAAACAAGAAATAAAATAAAATTATATATAAACATATTGCTTTTATCTCTTGTAATAGTTTTTTTTAAAAGCGGTATCTTGACTCTATAGAATATCACTGCAATGATACAAAAGACCTCTTGACATGAATCAATATACTCTGCACAAACCATCTATGGTATTGCATATGAATCTATTGTTGTACGTCACATTAAAAGAAAGTATGCCATAGTATAGTTCTATATTTATTCAGGGAAATTATAATACCTTGCCACAGCTGTTCTAATACCGCATCAATCAAGTGTAGTCGATATTCGGAGAAATGCAAGAATCAAAAAAAAAATATGGCCACACATCCAATGGATATTTTCATGTCTTTCTTTCCTATTATGCCCCCTAATAGTTAATGGTTACATGTGCAGTATACAATTTCAGCTTTAGCATAATATAGTCTTTGTTTACTTGGAGAGAATCACAATAATATCGGATATCTGCGCCATGAGAGGCGTATGTATCTGTGGGGGGGTTTTCAAAAAACCAAAAAAAAAATCGTCTTTATTTTTTTATATATATATATTCTCTCGTCATATAATTCTTCTTATGCACTAGAAAAGTTTTTTTTTTTCATTGTTTCATGCTTCGTTGGTTAGTATTGACTTTAGGAAATCTAAAGGAAATGCATAAAAAGGGAGGTCCTTAATAACTTGAGCTTCTCAAGACAAAATCAAAAAATATAGAGCTTTCTCTTATTTCACCACCACAAAAAAATAAAAATAAAAATGTCTTTCCTAGGAAAAATTCTTGACAAAGCCCGCCACACTACACACACTGGCTCCAAAGAAAAATCTCATTCTGGAGCACATCTTTACTCAACAAAGGAAATACCTGAGTTTGGAGCTCCAAGCCCTCCTACTACATCTAACCACAGTGAGCCCCAATATCAACATGAGCGCATGGGTCAGACAGCACAAGCCAACTACGCGTCTGGGTACGTGACACCTAGACCTTCTATTGAAATGAATACACAAGACCAGCACCAACACATGGATATTGATACTGAAGGCAAGGATCTTTTTTTTTCTCTTTGATAAAAATACCATAAACAATAAGATGTGGCGTAGATCTATATTATCTGGGTATAAACGGATTCCCTGTTTCTTGGAATAGATCCATTAACGCTTTGACACAGACCAAACACAGAATACACCCACTCAAAATATCGAGCACAGCATAAATGCATCAGCTCAAGATGGTAACGATAGATGTGAATATCGGCAGATAGCCAATAAATAAATAAATTCCTAAAACATTATTATATGTCCAGTTCACAGGGTTGAGGCATTAAAGCACAACTCTCAGCTGTATGACAAACAGGTGGCAGACCAGCGCCGAGATAGACCAAAGCTTAAACTTGATGACTTTCATCTCTTGCGAACACTTGGAACTGGATCATTTGGTCGAGTGCATTTAGCACAGTCAAGACACAATGGTAGATTCTATGCTATCAAGGTTTTAAAAAAAACCGAAGTGGTTCGACTCAAACAAGTCGAACACACCAACAACGAAAAGCATATTCTTGAGTCAGTAGCCAACCCATTTCTGGTCAATTTGTGGGGTACTTTCCAAGACGATAAATGCCTTTATATGGTAATGGATTACGTTCCAGGAGGTGAACTCTTTAGTGTGTTAAGGAAAAGCAAGGTAAGAAAGATAAGATAGCTAAACATACCTTAGTACTACAACATACTTACATATCTGTTTGTTTACAGAGATTCCCAGACCATGTAGCCAGATTCTACGCAGCAGAGGTTGTACTGGCGATTGAATACTTGCATTCAAAGGATATTGCTTATCGAGATCTAAAACCTGAGAATCTATTGTTGGATGCTGCTGGACATATTAAGATCACAGATTTTGGATTTGCAAAAAAAGTTACAGAGATTACATGGACTCTGTGCGGCACACCGGATTATCTTGGTAATATTTTATAATACATACATATGCATTATAGGAAACAAAGCTGCAGTTTTTTTAACATGATTTAATGTTCTTTTTGTATATATTTGTTGTTGTTTTTGCTGTTGCGAAAATAGCCCCCGAAGTCATTCAATCCAAAGGCTACAGTAAATCCGTTGACTGGTGGAGTCTAGGAGTTTTAATATTCGAAATGCTTGCTGGGTATGTAAAATGCAAAAAAGTTCATCGCAGGAAACCCAATGCAAGAACTATTAAGCTTTTTTTTTAAAAGAAAAACAAGAGCGCTCTTATTGATAATAAATTATCCTTTTTCTTAGTTACCCACCATTTTACGACGATGATCATTTAAAATTGTACGAAAAGATTATTCAAGGAAAAATTCACTGGCCAAGTTACTTTGATCCACACGCCAAAGATCTAACGAAGCGTCTTCTCACATCTGATTTGTCCCGTCGCTATGGTAACCTCAAGAACGGAGCACAGGACATCAAGAATCATGCGTGGTTCTTAGGCGTTGATTTCGATCGTGTGGCACTTCGCCAGATCAGACCACCATTCGTTCCAAACATTCGCAGTGATGGCGATGCCAGTCATTTTGATAAATATCCAGAGAATACTGAAGAGTATGGTGTAGCAGGTCCAGATCCTTATAGAGACATGTTCCCCGACTTTTAGATATATACACATATACATATATAATGTGCATTTAGAGGAAGAAAGGAGCCTGGTTGCACCTTTTGGATAATAAATATCCAGTTCTTGGAAAATTGTACATACTTTTCTATTAGATTTTTTAGCAATAAATAATATATAATATATACTTTCTGCATTAACCGTCAAAAAAAAACTAGTTTTACATAGCAAAAAATAATTGAATACTTCCTGCTTAAATGATACTATTGCTACGTACATATTACTTTGGAAATAATAGATGTGGACTTAAGGTAACCCCGGAACGTTATTTCGAGATATGAATTCCCACAGTTATGCTCGACCACAGGTTTCTCTTTTTACTGTTTATAATAACGTATAGAAGTTTATTGTAGTCCTGTATAGTGGTCCTTCGACAATTTCAAGACCAAGAGTGGGGAGGGGGCTAAGAGCCTGCCTCAGTTGCACACTTACATCCAACCCCTACTCGCTAATTCACTGGACTTCTATCTTCAACAGTACTAGGTACTTCGAGATTTGGGAAGCTTACTCCAAAAATCATCCGTCAATTTTACTGCTCAGTCATAAACAGCGAGAACAGTCTGGTAGGGACTACTTCATAGAAATATTCCTAGCCGTCTAAGGCTTTTCAGTCATAATATTGAGGATATAGAAGATCCCAACTGTTTCTTGTGTGGCGAAATCGAAGACGATGAACATTTCTTCTAATCCTGCCCGGAAAAACAGAACGTGTGGCACCAAATGACTATACGTTTCCTAAAAACTCCTGAGCTACTAACTTTCTCTCACTTAACATCACCAAGTCCTTCTCTAAGCCTTCGTCCCCAAAACTCCATTCCTTGTATTTATGCCTTTATTAGGTACAAACTTATAAATAAAATATTTGCCTGAATATACTCTTATGATTATTATGTTTTCTTGTTTTATTTATGTCGTCTTTTAAGGCGTTTGATATATGGTGGGTTGGCTACGTGTTGAAAATGTCCAACTCAGTAACAAGAAAATAAATACGGATAGAAAGACAGTTTTATTAAAGAGCTATTTAACTATTTAATTTCATCTCTACAGCTGTGTAATAAATTTTAGATTCACTGCTAAAAGAGACACAAAAAAGAACTGATGGATGGAATCCACCGTGTCATTATCCCACTCCATGAGTACATTTTGGTTTTTTAAAATTCGATTTCATTTCTGAAAGTGCCAAATGATTTTTTATTGGCCAATATTGCTTATTGAAATCACTGTATATATATATTAAATCATTACCATTAGAACCACCTGTGCGGTACCAGATTTTTAGTATTTACTGTCATTTTTGAATAATACAAATCCCCAAGCGTTTACTAATGTCTATTCATTGCTACAAATAGATAAGTCTTGCTATAGAGACTTCTTAGAAAGTACATAGTAGAGCATTTTGATATTTTATAAAAGGAGGTTGGTGTAGGACAACTACATGATTTCCACTTGAGGATACGCGTGAATTTATAAATTATATATGATGTGGGTTTGGTATTAACTACTGATAAAAACGTAAAAGGAGACAGCATAAGGAGGTAGGGTAAAAGGGAGATCGTGAATGACTTTAATGGAAGATATATCCTTAAAGCCTTCGGGGAGGTATAGCACTAAAGATAATGGTAATGACCATAGATACCACAATACTGGCAATTAATAGCCAAATAGATCGGGACCATAAAATTTCTTTGACGCGCGGTTGGGCGATCTTGTTGAACCGGAAAGTAACGGTCTCACTATATATAAAGAATAAAGATTTCCGTGAAAGTGAGCGTCTCTAGTATCAATATCTTGTATGGCTATTATGGTTATAAACTTGCCTGATATTAAACAGAAGTACCCATAGTGGGTCCAGGCCTGTAAGGAACACAAAGACGTTGTATATGCCAACCCAAAACGGAACCAATGCCTAAATAGATAACAGTATAAGTTTTCATAAACTAAGAAGAAAACAGTACAAAAATAACTTACCCCGAAGCGGGAATGCCATTGTGGATAGCCAAGGAAAATCAAACTAAGCGAAGTTGCAAATCCTGCCAATAAGCCGAGCAAGCCGATTGCCAGTCGACCAAGTTGCTGCCAAAGAGTAACATTTCCCCAAACCTTGAGACGTAAGAATTTTGGGTATGCTTGTCTCTGCATAGCCTCAAACGCATACTGTTTGGCATCAGCATAAACCAACGGGTCATCGCGTGGTTCAGGGCCTTGTAATGCATCACGGATAGCCTGACGTATAGGCGGCGGCAGCTGGACCAATTCCTTTTGTGCAGATGGAACGATGTATTTTAGCAATATTCTTTGGGCAGAATTGGCTAGATCCTGTCTGTTTGGGGGTAAAACGGATGGATTACCGGAAACCATACTTTCGGTTGTCAAAACTCCTGCTGCTTCTTCATCAACTGGCTGTCGGGGTGTGACCGTAATAGAAGGGTCAATAATAGGTGGACGAATGACAGGTATGTTTGATAGTCCCGAAGATTGAGAGATGCGTATACTATTACCGGACCGTTCACCCAGGTCCATAGACCGAGGTGGCTGAAGATGATGTGGTCTTGTAGTGGGTGATGACAAATGGGACAAACCGGGACGTTTTTCGTCCATTGAGCTGGTATGCGAGAGTCGACTCAACAGACGATTTGACTGGTAGCCTTCCGCAAGATCTTCTTCCGTCACAAATCCGGATCGTTGGAGAGATTTTATATAACGTTTCCAAAGTAATTCATGGTGTTTGACGTCGAGATAAAAATCGAGTATTTCTTCCATGTGGAGACGGTCTCGCATTACTATGTAAAAATTATATAGACATACAGGCGGGAGAGTCCGACGATTCAGGACATCATCCAAAGTAGGAAGATCACTAGGGATCGCCTTGGTGGTCATGTTCAATAGCAATATCTATTTTTATTAAGCAGTTTTTGTATATAGTAGAGTAAGAGTAAAAGAAAGAAAGAAAATAAGATAAATATTGGGATGAAAATAGCTGTTATTTGAGTGGTAAACTTGAGAATAGTTCTGTCTTGAGCTTGTTACACCATTTATTTTTGTTGATTTCTCTACAACCATTCAAGAAAGTAATGTCGTGGTTTTAAAATATATCTATTCGAAAATATTTTTATTTTCTCTCATTAATGGGAAGCCTTTCGTATATACCTATTTCTTCATATGATGGGAAACTTTAGTGAGCAGCCTACTGCAAAGTACTATATGTATTTGATTAAATGCATATGCAAGTATTTTTTTTTGCTGTTAAGCAACTCAGAAACAAGGCTTGTTCTTAAAATATGCTTTGTGCAGGACTGTCACTTTAAGATATCGTTTCTAGGAAGGCATGCCTTGGCAATATTTCTACCAAACTGTTTTGAGCTGTTTGTTAGTTTTTACATAAATTAACAAGTACATAGATATATAAATACGTATGTATAGACATATAGACATGTATATATATATATATAGAGAGAGAGAGAGATTTAGAGAATATATCTAATAAAGAAGAACAATAGTAAGAGATTTTATAATAAAAAAAATAGTGTAGGTAAAGAAGGGATATAAATTAAATTTATGGAAAAATTAAAATTTAAAGTATTGACTTTCCTTTTCTATTCTAATGATCAACATTACAACCACCACCACCACACCCACTAACAATGCTCTCGAAATTGCCAACGAAATTTTGGAATTAATGTCAAAGGTTCGCAAAGAACTCAATCTGTTACCACCACTCAATGGAATTAAACGTAAATTACCTGACGAGGATGAAGATGTGTAAGAACATTACAATCGTTGCATAAACAACAAAATATTTAAATCGTATTTTGCCAAAGGCACAAACGTGTAAAGCTTTCTCCTTCTGATGTCAACCGCATCTACGATCGCAATGAATTCCTTGGACGACTCAAAACATACCCAGGGATATACATTTATTCTCGAAGACCAGTATCAGCCGTAGCTTGTGCTAAGAATGGGTGGTATTACGAAAAGACAGTCGAGTCCCTAGATAATGATGTTGGCCTATTATCATGCAAAGACTGTAAAGGAACTCTGGCTGTTATTGATCTATCGCCTCATGATCCATCTAATCCGCAAAGTAAATATCTTCATACATATTGGATTGCTATACTTTCTGTAATTTATGCTAATGTTTGCTTAATTTTTTGAAATAGTCAATAAGATTATTACCATCTATGAGGAAGGTCTAAAGGCGTATCATAAAGAAGGGTGTTTCTGGGAATTTTCACAGTGCAATGGTACTTTTTTTAAGGAATGGATAAACCCCATGGAAACGAAATAATAACAAACTCGTGGTCAACTGTTTAATGTGTAGATTATGTGAATAGCTTTCCAATAAGTACTTACAAGGAAGCATTAGAACTTGTGTGTACTCAAGGAAAGCTACTCTACAGTCAACAACATATTTTGCCAAATATTGTTGATCCATTGGTAAAGAAAAAAAATAGACTATAGAAAGAATAGCTTATTCATGAATAATATGTGTATGTACGCGCTATTTGCAGGATAAATACCAACGACGAGCAGTCAATCAAGTTGCCCAGCACTACGAGCATAACAAAGATGAGGCAATGGCAATTGTCACCGATTCATCGTTAATCACTGCCTACACTCTTCCTCTTTATGGTTGGAAACTCAAGAGTACAGAAGTACCCTACCTTCAATGTGATTCGTGCTTCCAACGTTACTCTCTGTCGCAAGAAAACAAATCCGATCAGTTTGACGTGATTAAAGAGCATCGTCCTAACTGCCCTTGGGTCAGTTCGACTGATGCCCTAATTTATAGACCTGGTTCACAGCAAGGTTTAATGAATGGATATGGGTGGATGCTGGGATTTGTGAATAAGGAACACCTTTTGCTACTGGAGGCTTTGGAGTCTAACCGAACAGCATTACAACATTTGAGTGATAAGAAAGATGCCTTGCGTAAGAAGCTAGAAGAAGATACCAAACGAATCCTACTGGCTGCCTCTAAACCATTTACTCCATCCCCAGAATAGACTTTGTAATATATAGATATATAAAAGAATACCAGCATAATAAACGAGAAATTTGGAAGAATATAACAAGAAAACAAGTCTTTAGTTAAAATATTAAAATGCAATTTTATGTGTTCCTTCATCTTCATTTTTGTTTATAATGTAAAATAATAATAATACACACACAATATCTCTTTGCAGTGATATTATATTTAATAGTAAGATTTTTCTTTTATAAGAAATTAATCCCTTCCCTAAATAAATTAATTAGATTAGTAGACACCTTCAACAAAAGAAGTTCAAAGGCATTAATTAATTAATGCATCTAAATTGTGGTTTGAACCTTTTAAACAACAAACCAGTGGTAATTAAAGTATAGAAGGCGTTAAGCGGATCCACTACTTCTAAATAGTATATTGCTTGAGAAGTAACGCGTTTGGGCTATCGGTACCTCTGTTAACCTGTGGAAAATAAGTACACAGATTAAACTCTGTTCTTTTTGGGCATCAAAAAAAGTATTTATTTTTTCAGCTATTTTCATTTTTTTTTTTTGGTTTTAAATTTTCCTTTGGCAACAGCGGTGTTTTTATTTCATTTTTATTTTTTGCCCTATTTTAGAGTGCTTGATTTACCTACCTGGTTAGATAGAAACCACTCTATTCTTTTTAAGATGGATGAGATCAATGCATTATTAGAGGAAACAAATCTCGCTTCTTTAAGAGACAATGGCTTAATTATAGTGTCGATTGTCGGAAATGGGGACTTTCGACCATACTCTGTTCATGGCAGCGGCACAATGACAAACACCACAGTAGTATTAGCCAATCGCATGGTTGGCCAGGAGGTGTTTGTACCAAGAAATAAGGTGATACACGCGTCATTATCTCGGTGAAAGGCTGTATCTGACATTCTTGTTATTCATTCAGCCACTTAAGGATGGCACAATCGAGGTAAATGAGACAAGAGTATATTGTAGAGTATACCTAGAAAAGGATACATAATATAAGACAGGTTGTGAAAGCGTGCCAGCTATTCGTGGATAAAAAAGCAAAGATTGCCTACCTGTACCTTGATTCTGTTGTCACAACTGAAACCATGGCAGAGATGGCCCAAAATTCGGATACAAAGGTACACTATTTATTCAATCTTCTTTATTCAATCTTTTGTCTAAGCATATCGACTTTAGAATATGCAAGATCAACTAAAGGACGAAAAATTGACGACTATGAAAGGCCTATTGATCATGTTACTCATGTCGCACTTGGTGATTGTACGCAACCAAGAACATTATGAAAAGAAAGAGTGATGTGTTGCAAACACTTACTGTTTAGTCTATCCTACCCCCATCTGTATTACCTGCCGAGTTCTTATCAACATTGTCAGCACTAAGTCAAGTCAAGCAAGGAATCTACACACATCTTTCTCAGCTTCAATCAGCCTGCTGGAAATGCTGGGATATCAATGTACCTAATGCTCTCTTTGAAAGAAAGGAAGGGGAGTACAGAAGAGAACGTGAGCGTTTTTATCCCAATTTGATGGGCTGGTGGGGGCCTGCAAAAGGTGTCCCTATGATGGTGTTTGTTGCAGCAGAGGTAAAAAAAAATCAAGCTGTGATGGGTCTCAATTGATCCAACATCAAATAGGCAGCTATTCCAAACCTAGATACAACCCCCCGTGCTGGACTTCCAATGGCTATCAAACGCCATCAAGAAACGTTACAGGTTAAGTTGAAGACTATATTTCGAGCCATGCATTTGATACCCGCTGCTCCTGAAAACAATAACTCACATCCTCCTGTAGAAGTAAGGTAAGTTAATAAAGGTGATTTTATGGTAATTTTTACTTTTTATTTTATTGATTTATTTTACAAAAAAAACAAACAATGTATATATACATTTCACGACAGATCCCTATTTGCACTTCCAGCCACTCAGTCGTTTATACATATTGTTCCTGCTATACCTTCACCTGCGAAAGTTCCTGAATCTGATGATTTCTCATTTGATCGACCAATGGATTTATCCGAATGGTTGGAGAAGTCAGCTGTTATAAGCGAGGAAAAGATTCAAGAAAAGAGCAAGGATAACAAAAATATTCAGTCTAGTCAATCGATGCTTGAAGAATGTGGTGATAGATTATTACGCAACTTTGTCTCTCATTGGGTCAAAGCATCAACCACACGGCACCCAATGCACGCCCAGACTAACCACAACAGCAGTAGAAAAGGCCATGATAGCAAATCTAACCATGTCCCTCTCCCTACTGCTTTGCAATTTGTTTCTGCTCTTATGCCCTTACGCACACTGACTTACAACCTTCCCCCAGGACCAGATGGGCAGGATTTCAAAAAAGCAGTCATTGCACAGTCTCCGGGAGCAAAAGGAATGATCCAGCAAATCGAGGTTATTTTGCGAAAGAAGACACGGGATGTAGTAGACATTGAAACCTTGTTTTCAAAGAGGTAAGTCCAATATATTTTGTTTGATTTTTTTTGCTCACATTTAATTTTTTTCTTAAAGGCGTGTGCTTGCCCAATGGAAGTAATAAAAGAAAACAACCGATACTTAGATTGTTCTTTAGTGTCATTTTTATCGAAATTTGGGCAATATATGTCTTTGAAACTGCTGTCTGTATCCCTAGCAGATAACTTGTTGTATACGCAGACTAGCTCTAATATTATTAGCTTATATATGATATGCTTCTTTGCCGAAATAAATCTCGCCAAATTACTTTCTCTCCATGAGTAATGTTCCTTTTTTATTTATTTTTATCTTATACTGGTCAAATGAAGATATGCATTCACAAAAGAAAATATACTCAACACTTATTATTGTTTCTCTGTGACAAGGGGATATATTACTGTGGGGTGTTGGTCAATATAAGATGATTCCGTGATGGTCGCTTTATCTTGTAAGTCCACCCTCAGGCCGTCAAAAGCAGGTCCAATATGCATTTTTTCAATAATTGCCAATTTGGAAAGGTCCTCGACCATTTTATAGTGGTCTAAACGATGTGCGAATCCAACAAGATAGGTCTTTAGAGCTTTAACTTCTCTGGCTGCGTCGATAGAATCGTGGAGCGCAAAATGGGAAGCATGGGTCACTTTCTCTACATGTTTTTTAATTCATTGAGTTCTCAAGTCTTACAGTTTTCACAGGTCAGATAGTTTCATTTACCTCTCAAACAATCGACAATAAAGACACGAGTCTTTCCCTTAATTTGATCCATTGTCTCTGGAGGAATAAAATTCGTATCCGATATGTAACTCACACCTCCGAAATGGAATCCATAACAAAGGTAGGGTTGACCAGTAGTAAAGTAGATTCCATGATGTACTTTATAGATTCAAGACGACGACGACAACAAATGAAAAAAAAATAAGAATAAAAATAAATGGAGATTGAGCTACTGCTTAATAATAAGAATTTACCTTTGAGTGGTGTAAATTCAAGTCCTGAAATACTAAATGTTTTCTTGGGATCAAAAATATTATACTTAAAAGTAGCAACATCTCCTCCACCTACAGAAAATAATTAATAAAAGACTTTTCTGAAATCTCAAACAGTACCTGTGGCATGTATACTGTCCACAAGATAAGGAAATGTAGATGCAACTGTTTCCATAGTCTCTGGCGAGAGATAAATGTCAATGTTTTTTTGTATGGCTCCATGAAGTGTCCACTGACGAAGATCGTCTATTCCGTTCATTGCGTCTGCATGACCATGAGTCAATATAACACCATCCAGCTCTCGGATACCGTAACGAGAAAATATCTCGATTGCACTTCCTAAGATATATATATATATAAATATTTAATTTATATTATTATTTTCATTGATAGAAACCATACCATAAAATGTCTTGCCGCAGTCTATCAGTACGTTTCTATCCGAGTAAATTATTAAGTATTATTATAATAATAGTATCCCAAAAAGTACCTCACTCTATCTGTAGGTTTATCGCCATTGCGTTTGAATCGAACCACCATGGCCGTATTTTTTCGCATGTTCTTCCTGCCTTCAGCCGTGATGGCTGAACGACAAACAGTACATATGGTTTTAGGGTGTGTCAAACAGTTAATATTTGGTACACCTGCCGATGTTCCTGTGCCAATGAACACGATCTCAACTAGGGTTGCCATGAATGTAAATGAGGGATCTAGTAAATGTCTCTCTCTTTTCTGCAAAGGTTATTTCTATAACCCGTCTAAAGATCGGACCGTGAAATATAAATTTCCGAAGAGATGTGGGCGGAAGCATAAAGGTAACAAGATACAAAAAATAGAATCTTGTACCTGAATACACAATACATAATACCCAAAATATAAATACATGAAGAAGACAGAATTCTTCATGGAGATCAAATAAATTATACGGTATATTATTTTGTTAAGTAGTATTAATTGTAACAATATAATAAGAAGCTATATTCATTAAAGACAGAAAAGCTCATTGCTTGTTCAATAGTACTATAATATGCTTGCTGTGTTAGTATTTGTTCTTGGTGTTGGTTATATGATACAAATTAAATGAAACGTGCTTTACGGGTAAGTCTTATATAGAAATAAAATTATTTTAATATATTCTCGAAAAAAGAAAATGCCCGAGCTTACAAAAAAAAAACAAAAAGTATCTGCCAAAACCAAGTGTGCTGTGTTTTCACTAGTTATTCATTAACTTTGAATATAAGGATAAATTTGCTTATACATTATGGATCATTTTATGGCTGTATTTGTATTTTTATTTTAAGGGGGTAAAACGATATATGTATATTGTGTGGTAGATTGGATAAATATATAACATACTTCCCACAACAACAGAATATCTATAGATGCTAGAATATACGGTGTGTATCTTGTCTATAAATTAGACATGATAAACTTTTTGTTTTTTTTTCTTAGATGCGGTTATCGCGCAACAGGCGGGTAGTTTCTGTAGATTCTGGCTCGGGTTCTTGAGTCTGGAGATCAGATAAGCCAAGACGCTTGTTTCGGAAATGCCAGACAATACAAAGGATCAAAAGAGATCCTTGTAGGAGACCTGTAATAAGGTAAGTGATCCAGGCGGTCCAGTTTGTGCCTGGTCTTGTAGCAAGGGAGTAGACAAAAAGAGCAGATCCTAATATATAGAAATACAGCACACAAACAAATACACGCGCAACGTGCTTAATACTGGTATACTTTATTATTGCTTTTATTCTTCTTACCAGGTGTTTGAAGGCACATCATTGGGATACTCAAAGCGCCAACAGACTATATGGTAAGTCATAATTAATTGAGACCATTTATTTGATGTTATATGGCGAGCCAGTCAAACTTACCTTGCGCTTCCATGTCTTCCAGATCTGAGGAAGATATTGGAATGTGGCAAGGATCATGCTAAATACGCCCAAGAATCCAGCCCAGAGATCTGTCTGCCAGTTTTCGGGACCTCCGACTAATACCAAAAGTAAGACTGAGATGATGACAGAAATAACAAAATGACCAGTGGTGACTGCAGCGACAATCAAAGAAACCTTCCATTCAGCTGAAATGGGAGGTTTGATTTTGGAGGGTAAATCCAAGTGAAGAGAGCTAGGCATATGGGCACCATGCTTTTTGTTTTCAGGGAAATAAAGAAGGAATAAAACAAAGCTAATAGATGGGTTATTAAACATATTTATCCCTTTAATTTCAGCTAAGATTAGTCCAAATAGAAGATAATTTACATCGTGCAGAACATTGCCCATTGAAGGAAGATCTGATTGACACCCATCAATCCCTCTACACATGCACCAGTAGACTATTGAAAAGAAAATTAATAATCAAATCCCAAAAAGAATCAAACGATATAAACGTAGCCTCTTACCAGAGAGTGACAACAAACAATTGCATCCCACTGCAGGAGAATGATATTGAGTAAACTAGAGGTAGATGAGATGACACCTAGGAGCAAGAACCAGGCACTGAAACCATCGCTGGTTTTGTTGATAATAATTCTTGCATGCTAGAAGAGGTGAGTTAAAGTCTTGGTTACCGTTAAAAGATTCTTACTTGAGGAAGATAGGAGATCACTAGTCCAATGCACAGAAAGATGCTAATGAACAAAGTAGTTTTGTCATGGTGAGCTTCACACTGTCTCGGGGTTGGTTCGGAATCCAGCATTGCCTGGACAGACAATTGAACTCCGTTAACTATTTCCATTCTTGATGTAAGTAAAAAAAGAAGAAGAGTTTGAATTTTCCCGTATTTTGTCTATTAAATATTAAATATATTAAAGGGAAACACTAAAGCCAAATCTTCGTGACCAGCAATAATAAGAATACTAAAGAATAAGAGAGAGAGAGACAGAGAAAAGGTAAAACACTTTACATAGTGAGATGAACACAAGCCAGAACGAATAGTAAACAAGCGGGCCAGCTCTTTGATTAATCCGAAACACAAGGAGAGGCTAGGAGAGGCTAGCTTAGTCTATGTTTGATTGACTTGGCTTTATAAATAAATAAATAAAACATTGTCAAGAGGAATACACTGGCGTCATTTATCTTGACAGGAACACCAAAAAAAAAAGATATTTAATTTGAAACGCCCGATTTTTCCGAATTACAGAGACATTTTTATTTAAGCCATTGATTCATAAATCCACCTTTATCCGACAAAACAAAAGTGAGATTGTTTTCGTATATAGCCATCAGTGATTGTATAATATACACTATTTCTATACTCAAACACCACATACTCCTTGCTTGTAAGGGAGTACAATCTTATTTGTGTGTGTATGTTTGTTTGGTGTGCTTCTTTTGAATGTGTCACAAATCTTGTCCTTCCATGGCACCCGCAGCAAGCTAAATTGGTGTGGAAATTTGTATGGAGTTTGACAGCTGAAAATGAGAAGCAGTAAAACATCTTGACTATTTGTCTAGATACTCTTGCTTACGTACCCGACCAGAACATTATTTTTACAAATCAAAGCAAGTTCTATAGGCACCAAAAAAACTACACATGTTATCCTTTTATTAGATTTTCTGGAGAAAGATGTGTTTCATCAGCATTTCTAGGGATATGGTGTCTCTCAACGGTGTACAACGCTTTTAAACTTCTACCAGACTTGTATTACGTGACTATCTCTCTAATGTACTGCATCCAAAAGCCTCTTACAAATCGACAGACTTATTATGCCTCTCCATTTATGACCACCAAACAATCATTTATTTTCTTATATTATCTAAAATATGTGCTGCCATTTGCCTAATCTAGATCACCCCCAAAAAAATATTTCTTGACCATCTTTAGTTTGCCATTGGTAAGTCCATTATGCATATGATGCTTCTACGGATAAAATATTTCGTGTTTTGTCTTTCTCACTCTACAGATGGTATGGCCATCCTCGATCTAGTAGTACAAAAGTATATTTTCCAATCATAATAGCTCATTCCTTTTATTAACCTCTTTTTCTTTTTTTTTCTTGATATTTCTTTGACTCTTCTATGATGTATTTGTGCCAACATAAGCATATACTATTTTTCAAATGGTTATTGATATGTGGGCAACCACATCTTATAGTCTTAAAAAATACATTAGCCCTCTGATAGTTAAAGGAAACCACATGAAATAAAAGCGTATCTTTAACATCCAACTGATTCTCAGTGGTAATAACTAAACCAATTGAACATGAAGGATAAATATAATATATAAATATATATAGTTAAAGCTCGATATAGTGATATTTTTGTTTTGACCTTTTCAAGTCTGGCCATACCAACTTTCGCTATTGGACTTTTAAAATCTATCGATATATCCATGAATATGGGTTTGCTATTGGTCAGACAAGTACCAGCCATTATGGATTTACTTGCTATACAACTTTACTTGGTAAAGAAAAAAACAAATCTTTAATTTTTTTTGGGTGTATGACCCAAGAGAACTTTGAGATCAAGCATCGATATGGTGCAAATAATAACTAAGATTTTCATTAGTGAATGTTTTTTTTTTCAGTGAAAAAATAGAATGTCTTGATCAATATTTGCGCAATCAATTTTAAACAGAATTTAATTGGTGGATAGTAATGTACCCCAGCAAGTTACTTGGAGTTATACAGCTATTTTTCTAGATTGATGTGAAAGTAAAGCTGATTTCCTGTATTTAATTTGCCATTTTGATCAAAATGATCCTTTTTTTATATAATTATTCATTTCAGCTGTGAATTCAACGACTTTTAAGGTATGATTTTTTTGTTTAAATTGCTATATACATATATATATATAGTGAGAGTGATATACTTTTTGGTTTTTTTACTATTATTACTGTCAAACCTGTAGTGTATTTTTCCCAGTGTAATTGGCTCAATGAGTATTGGTATATTTCTAGAGCTCAAAATCTTATGTAGTTTTATTGAAAAATAGTTCAAAGGTTAAGGTAAATATAGCCAGGTTTATGATACCGAACAGAAAACAGAAATCAGCGTTACTTATATATAAATATATAACGCCACCAGATTTATATATGTTTGTAGTTGTACAGCATAAAATATAGTCTGCAATAACAGCTGGTGCATATATAACTATCATAGGATATCGATATAGGGTCTATCTCGATATATTTATAGAATCGTCTATAAGAAATATAACTGAAAAGAAAGGCCCATTTCGGCTCTTTCTATTTCGTACTATTCTGAACAAGAGGTGTCTTTTGCTATAAATAGTCATTCTTTATCAAAACTTTAAAGTAATATATATATTTAAACGTGCATATGCATGAAGACCTATGTAATTGAAACAGAGAGATTGCTTATGGCTAAGATTATTAAAGAGATATAGATAGGTAGAAAGAAGCGGGGCTGGTCTAAGTTTATTCACTTTCTGCAGAACTAATCATTAAAGTAAGAACCCAGAGTTTATTTATTTTTAACCCCTTAAAATCGGTTAGAAAATTATACTTTGAAATATTTGATTTTGACAAACAATCTTCTAATGAATTATATCCTTGGTCCCTTTACTGCAACTCTTGCTTATATTCCTAGACCTAAGAATATTGTATTTGTGGTTGATATTTATAAGTCTAAATCATTAGATAGAGATATATAGGTATTAAAAGAATATTTTTATTATTGTTATTAAAGACGTTTTGTATTTCTTCCTTGGATCTTAAACCATAATATATTGGTTGATATAAATATTGAATACTTTTATTTATGCAAGATGTTGATGATTAGATTATATAATGTATTTCTAAATCATACCTGGGTGAGGTAAAGATGCATTCATGCCTGTAATTGTTGTCGCTGTTTTTTGATGTTGTTAGTGTTGTTATTGTGTGATATGTTTGTATCAGTGATACTCGGTTTGATTAATATATAATATTCTGGTTATCGACATTTCAGCATATACCCCCTTAAATATAAAGACCATAAAAAATAAAGAGAAGAATAAGAAACTTGTTAGGTAGAAGTTTGTATCCATAACCTAAAAAATCGCATCTCTTGGCTTATACGAAATGTGGTCCACTCCTCTATCTACAGCTGAAACGTCTTTGTAAATGATATAATACTAAATAGAACTTATGAATAAAACAAGATCATTTAATAATAATGCATAGGACATTGAACTACTTTTATGTAGTGATAATCCATTGCAAATATAAACTCAAAGAAGCTGTGAAACTTAAGAAACCAAAAGTGAAAATGCGGAGTAAGACTACCTAGAAAATTCTTGGCCATGGACGATCGCTATAAAAGCGATTGCAAATTGAAATTGATCATACACAGCATTGTTTTTTTTTGTTCTATTCTATTAAATGATAAACTTTTATATTTTACCACTAATATCATTGCTCTTTATATACGCCGAATCTCTTCCGTTGAGTGCCAATACTCACCCAAGTATATTGGAATCAAATCGGTTCAACCAAAGAGCATTAGCCGGAACAAGAGGTCGATTCTTACATGTTACAGGTAAGAAACACACCCCAAAACCCCTCTATACCTCCTTTTTTAAAATAATAATCCAAAACTAACCCCCCCCCCCCCCCCCGACATATATCCTTTTAATCTTTTACTTCTAGATATACATTTGGATACTCTGTATTTGGCTCACTCTGATCCAAAGCAGTTATGTCACCGTATGAGTAAAAAAAAGAAAGATAATATTGCTGGAATTTTTGGTGCACTTGGCACAAAGTGTGATTCTCCAATGACACTGGTAAGTAATAAAATCAACTAAAGAATGTATACTAACATTGATCTTAGGTTGAAGCATCATTTGATTTCCTCAAAAAATCTTTAAGTGATGTTGATTTTGTTTTTTACACCGGAGACACCGCACGTCATGTATGAAACTTTCTTTCTAGAACGACATGCCTTATCAATCGATTA